CAAGTTCTACCGGCTAATCAAGGAGCAGGAGCAGGAGCAGGAGCAGGAGCTCGATTGGGGAAGCAGTAGAAGACCGGCGGCGAACGCTGGGGTCGGAGCTCCAGGGGATGGAAGTGAGGGATCCCCGGAGAGGGAGGAAGCTGGGGAAGAGATCGAGGAGGTCGAGCCCTACCACGTCGCCCTCCCGGGCTTCCCTGGCGGCTCCGAAGCCTTCGAGACCGCCGCCAAGTTCTGTTATGGCGTCAAGGTGGAGCTCACCCCCTGGAATGTGGCCCCCCTTCGATGCGCCGCCGAGTACCTGGAGATGACGGAGGAGTTCGGCGAGGACAACCTCGTCTCCCGCTGCGAGAGGTTCCTCAGCCATTCCGTCCTCTGCAGCCTCAAGGACTCCGTGGAGACCCTCAAGTCCTGCGAGCCTCTAATGCCGCTCGTTGAAACCCTAGGCATCCCTCAGCGCTGCATCGACGCCATCGCAGCCCGGGCCTCCTCCGTCGACCCCTCCTCCTCCCTCTTCGGCTGGCCGATGAACGAACGGACCGGCGGCGTAGGCGCCAGCGACCGCCGTGTCCTCGCCAATTACAACCTCCTGTGGAATGGCATCGACACCGGCCTCCGCGGCAAGCAGCACGGGAGCGCCGGCAGCCGCTCCGGTGGCGCCGCCTCCTGGTTCGACAGCCTGGCCGTGCTTGGGCTTCCGCTGTTCCAGCGCACGATCCTCGCCATGAAGGCCCGGGATCTCAGCCCGGACGTGATCGAGGCTTGTCTTCTCTCCTACGCCAAGCGGTCCATTCCCGGCCTCTCCCGCTCTGGCCGGAAGAGCTCCGGCGGGGGGACCCTGCCATCGGAGGCGGAACAGAGGGAGCTGTTGGAAACGGTGATCGTAAACCTCCCCCTGGAGAAGACCTCCTCCACCGGCAGCCGGTTTCTCTTCGGTCTGCTTCGCACTATCAACATCCTGAGGGCGTCCGAAGGTTCGAGGGAGATCCTGGAGAGGAAGATCGCCACACAGCTGGACCAGGCCTCCCTTGACGACCTGCTGATGCCCAGCTACTCCTACCTCATGGAGACGCTCTACGACGTCGATTGCGTCGAGAGGATCATCGGTTACTTCCTGGAGAGCCTCCAAGAGGCAGCCCCGTCGATCTCCGCCGCCGAGGAAGAAGAGGACGAGGTGGAAGCGGGCGGCGAGGACGAGGGTGACGGAGGAGCCGCAAAGTCGCCGGAGTCCATCCGTCCGCTGATGATGGTGGGTAAGCTTGTTGACGGATACCTCTCGGAAATCGCCTCCGACGGCAACCTGAAGCCGGAGAAGTTCTGCGACCTTGCGCTAGCCCTGCCGGATAATGCCCGCGTCTACGACGACGGCCTCTACCGCGCCGTCGACGTCTATCTCAAGGTGAACCCCCTTGGACCTCGCCCAGGTTTCCTTCCCGACGGAAACCGAGAGATTCCTCTCTGTTTTCTACGCAGGCCCACCCTCGGATCAGCGAGGTGGAGAGGGAGAGGGTGTGCAGCGTGATGGACTACCAGAAGCTGACGCTGGAGGCGTGCACCCACGCGGCGCAGAACGAGCGGCTTCCGCTGCGGGCAGTCGTGCAGGTGCTCTTCTTCGAGCAGCTGCAGCTCCGTCACGCCATCGCCGGTTCCCTACTCGCCGCTGACCTGACGGGGGGCGGCGGGTCGCAGCCGCCCGAGTCTGTGCGGACCTTCCGCTTCCAGGAGGCGCCAAGGGAAGGGGAGACGTGGAGGTCGGCGGCGAGGAACAACCAGGTGCTGAGGCTGGACATGGACAGCATGAGGAGCCGGGTTAACGAGCTGGAGCGGGAGTGCTCGACCATGAAGAGGGTGCTCCAGAAGATCGACCGCGGCGGCGCCCGGCCCCGGGGAGCCACCGCCGCCGCCGGCGAGGCCAACGGCCGCGGGTGGAACTCGTTCACCAAGAAGTTCGGGTGCAAGTTCAAGACGCAGGTGTGCGACTCCCATGACCGGACGGTGGTGGAGTCGCGGCGGAGCAGGACTGCCCACCCGCTGGGGGCTCTGCCGCCGCAGCAGCAGCAGCTCCAGCACCAGTTGCAGCTGGAGCAGAGCTTCTAGCTAGTCGTATATTTCTCTCCACCGTCGTCGATTTCTTTCCTCACCTTGTGCAGCCGAGAGTGAGATTTTCTCATTGACCTTTGTTCAAGCATCAGGTATTTTTTTAATTTCCATCTCCATCGGGAAGGGGGAGGGACGCGGCCATGTCCGACCGGCGGCAGCTCCTCCTCGCCATCCTTTTTTGGCAGCCGTGCGGAATGATCGTCTTCCCCGAGAGCAGAAAGAGAGAGGAGAAAGGCTGAGCGAGCGTGAGGAATCTGTCTCGTGTCAGCGGGAAAATCTCCATGATTGCCAAACTCTTCCTTTTGATCACCCAACCCCGGCGGCCGCAACTGGCAGGCAGCCGCCGTGGTGTCGTCGTTCGCCCCCAACTCTCTCTACCTACCTTCGTCCACCTGACAGCGGCTTTGATTTCGGGGTCCTCGCAGCCATTAAAAGCAGTGGGTGGGACTCCCCATTAAAGAAGGTCCCGGGAAGGGGGGGGGGAGTGGAGCGGCAGCGACGCAGGCCCCGCAGCAGGAGGAACTGCTGGCGCCGGCGACCGTCTGGACTGGCTTCGCCGACCTTTTTGTCACCCAGAGGAGTTAATTACCTCCGCCGACCGCTGCCCAGGGAGAGAAGCTAAGAGTTAAATGGTGGTAGCTGGACTGGCTGTCGTCTCACGTGACACGATCCCCCAGATACACTCCTGTCAGGCAAGGCCCACAAACACGAGAAAGGATATGTGTGATAGAGAGAGAGAGAGAGGAAGGATGCAGCTCTGGGTACCTCTGTGGGTTTTGGCATGTACCTGCGGCATGTGCCGTCGCCGTTCGTCGGCAAACCGCGTGAAGGGGTCTTCGTAGGTGACTCGCGGCGCGTGGCCAGGCCGGAGCTGCTCCGCCGCCGGCGCAGAGCGCGGTGACCAGTCTGTCGCTTTCCGCTCGGCGATGACAGTGGAGAGATGAGCTGAATGCTCCGAGAAGAGGTTCAGAGCCACCACCACGAGCTGGATCCGTCGACAGAGATCAACTGAGAAGCTCCGACTCCGGAGTCTGGAGGTCTGTACGCTGTTGTTCAGGCGATTGGCAGACCTTCGAATAAAATTTGATAATGCAGCACTAATTTGGCTCGTTAGTTGTTCCCAGTTGGAAGATTCCCCCTCTTGCTCTTCCTCGATTCCGTATAGCTTGATGGTCGACAAAAATCTCAATATTTACGACGTATTTTTTAAATATTTAGAGTGACAGACTTTTATTTTTAAAAAAATTAAGATCGCGCCATTTCCCAATTTAAAGACGTTTATGTTTCTTATTCATTCAAAAAACTACCGAAAATCCTTCCCAGTTAAATTTTTGTCAAAAAATCATGAAAATACACGACACACGTGGTATTATTGGTGATATGGTCAACTACTTTCGTTTAATCCCCATATATGATACAAAAAGAGAAAAAAAGGATGGGTCTCGGCTTTAATCGCCGCCGATCGGTCTCAAGTAGGACGAGGAGATTCAATGGGTTGGTAATCCACGGTTTGCTTGAATCTCCGCAGGGATGATATGGTAGCGACCCTGGATAAGAAATAACTCGATAGCCGATGGCAGAAGCGTGGGCAGCAAGTGGCGTGCGTCTTCTGCGGCGGGGCCAGTTTGCACCGGCGGCAGAGAGGACGGCGGCGCGGAGGCTGGGCGGGCAGAGGCTCTCTCAGCCGCTGACGGTCACCAATAGTCCCCGCAGGAGCAAGCTCCGTCCCGGAAGTGGTGGAACCTCTTGTTGTCCCTGACGATAATCTGCCGGCCGACGATCTTCGAGATGATCTTGACCGCGTTGTGGCAGTCACCGCAGATGCGGAGGTTCTTCATGACGCGGAGGGTAGTTCCCGGCGGCGTGCTGATGAGCCCGAAGGCGATGGCCAGCCGCTCGCTATGGTACATCAGGGACCTCTCCTTCGCCTCCTCGTCGATGTCGTGGAGGACGTAGCGCGTGTCCGGCACGTACCCGGCCGCCCTCATCAGCTCGTGCAGCTCCCTCACCTTCTCGTAGGCCTCCCTCCGCTTGGGGTCCTGCGCGCCGCCGCCGGCGATGTCCCCCTTACCTCCGCCGGCCCCCGCCGGCCGGGCGGTGGAGCGCACCTTCGTGGGCATTTGCTCAAACACCCTGCGGGCATCGGCAGAGCTGCCCAGCTTGCAGTATACAGCGGCCAAGGTCTCGAGGGTGCCGGCGCTGAGCTTGCGCCGGGATCTCACCAGGCGGTCGTGCGCCCTCCTGACGAAGCCCAGGGAACCAGATTCCACGCAGGCTTGCAGGAGCGCAGACAGGTCCCCGTCCTGCGCAGGGACCCCCCCCTTCTCCATCTCTTCCATCAATCGAAGGGCAGATTCCAGTCTCCTCTCCCCAAAGAGGCTCTCCAGCTTCGAGCTCCATAGCCCACCGTCAGTCCCCTCGCGGGCCGCCTCCTGCGCCGGGGCCCTGCTCGAAGACGCGACGCAGCTTCCGAGCCCGTGCCCGTCCGTCGGGAACTTGCACACCACTCTACGAAGAGCGGCAGAGGGTCGGCTGCACGAGCCCCGCCTCACGGGATTGCAGAAGAGATCGGGTGCGTGCAGGTCCGCGGAGTTCAAGATCATCGTCGGTGAGAGGGAGCGGAGAGATGCAACCGCCGAGCAACCCTGAACCATCATCGCCTCCTCGACCACGGAGATGACGGTGGCGAGTATATATATATCTTCCAGATGAATGGACGAGAATGCCCTACATATTCTTTCTTAGTTTCTTCTTTTCAGAAGGCCCGCGTCCGCTGCGGAGGCGGGTTCAAGGGAGAGCTGGAAGACTTCGCAGAACTCCCTGAGAACGGCCGCGTGAGCTGCGTCCATCAAGAGAACGTCGTCGCGCTCCTCGGCGCCCGCCGGCGGGGCCCCCAGCAGGCGGTGGAGGCTCCCCACATCGCGGTCCCGAATGCCGCAGGGGACGATGTCGGCGAAAGGGGCAAGATCCGTGGAGACGTTCAGAGCGAGCCCATGGTAGGTCAGCCACCGCGAAACGCGGATGCCGATGGCGGCGATCTTCTGATCCCCTGCGACGTGGAAATTTTTACAGTCAGTCTCCTCCTGTTCTTCATCTCTTCTTCCCAGAATGAAGAGCAACAGACTTAGAGAAGGCCCCCGAAAGGAATGACGGTGGCTTCTGTTCTCCAAGAACAAGAAGAACAGGAAGTAAAGGAAATCCTCCATTAATGGGCAGAGATCCTGCTTGCTTCCAGGCTGCGAGCTTACCAACCCAAACCCCGGTTAAGCCATCCAGCCGACAGGCCTCGACGGAAAACGCGGCTGAAAGAGCCCGGATGATCACCTCTTCCAGCGATCGAAGGTACCAATGGAGGTCCATTTTGTGACGCCTCAGATTGAGAATCGGGTACATAACAAGCTACCAAAAAGAATAAATAAATAAATTAATGCATGTCAGGAGTACACCTTATCAATTTAATCTCATACGAGAATTTAATGATATTTTCGAAAAGTTCTATTCTTGACGTCGATATGTCAAATTAAATCTGAGAGTAAATAGATAAAGAATGGTTTGTAGGATCACCAAGAGCTGAAATCCACATTGCGGCATACAGATGCAAGATCATGGAGCTCTTACCCCCCAACCCACGTGGAGAATTCTAGTCTGAAGGATCCCCTCTGGGAAAAAAGAAAAAAAGGATAGAAGAGAAGGTCGAAGCAGGCGCCACGGTGCGTTGGCTGAGGTGGTCACTGAAACTGGTTAGAGAATGCCCATGGTGATGTGAATGGAAGAGACGAGGATGGATGAGAAACTTGTCTGGTCCATCGTCCTCAAGGTGATCACCATGATAGGAATCTGCACCTTTGGTGACTGGTGGTAGGAGAAGGATGCACGGAGTTTGAACTGCTTCTCTGCTTCAAAATGGGGGATTCTGAGCCGCATCTGCGAGCCCATCTTTCAGAAAGAAACCGAGATTTTGAAAGCTAGAAAGGCCAGAGACAGACAAGTGGGAAATGGATTGAAGAACAGAGAGATCCCTTTGATGGGAGTCGTCACCTGGCCGGGACCATGGAAGGTGACCTCCCCGCCGCGCTCAGTTCTGAAAACCTCAAAAGGGGCGTCCTCCGCATCGAATTTTAGGTATTCCTCCAGACTCCCGGTGCCCAATGTATACACAGGAGGATGCTGAAGAGCGATCAGCGCGTCGCAGTGATCTTCACCTTTGTCCATTAGAGCGTGCCTCTTCGCCACCATAGACTTCTGCCACGACCAGGCGCTCTCGTAGGGAACCAGCTCCCTGTGCAGGTCGAAGAACTCGCACCTGTGGCTCAGATCCGTCAGAATCACCGTCAATCAAGGAAAAGAACAACACCAATGGCGGAGAATTCCCAATCGATTCACCTCCGGTTCCTGCCCGGGCTCTCAAGAGCAATGGCGCCTTGATGGGCACCGCAAGAAAAACGAAGTGCCACGTTTAAGGCTCTCGCGCTGAAACAGAGCCGACGATCCCACGCCCTCGAGCTCGTCGGGTGAGGGAACGGGGGGGCGAGCCCGGTGGCTGCCATCGAGAACTCGAGCGAGGCGCCGGTCGAGTACCTATCCACACTTCTCTTCCGGCGCTAAACGCCGCCCATTAGGTTTCAATCGAACCAGAGACGATTGAAAGCTGAAGGCAGGAAGGAGGAGAGAGGAAACTGGGGCTAGCTCAGAGAGAGAGAGAGAGAGAGAGAGCGGTGGTATCCACCGGACCAGATGAGGCGGCAGGGGGCGGGCGGCGGGGTGGCGGCGATCCCGTGAGCTCTGCTCTGCGTTCCGAGTCTCCTGAAGCGCCGAAAATGGGATGAGTTCGAACCCAACCCAAAATCTCTTTAGAATCCGATATCAGGGTCCCTATCTGCATCCTTTCCGGGATAAATTATTAACTGGGATTTCATAGGATATATTTATAAATAAATAAACAAAATACCCAAAATTCAAAACACGCTTCCGGATATATATAATCCTTATTGAATCCCACATATTTCATCGATTTATCGACGGGTCGTTTATTCCAAATTTCTTGAAATACGATTAAAAATTATTAACGGGTCACTTAAATTTTATGATTTTTTATTTTTTTGTTCATCTCGAATAAAATTACGGGGGAAACCCTCTCCGGCCAGATTTTGTTGGGTTATTCTCAACGAACAGAAAGCCCGACAGAGTCAACATATGGGTACGGTCTGACCGAGGAACTGGTCTTAGCGAGAGAGAGAGAGAGAGAGAGAGAGAGAGAGAGAGAGAGAGAGAGGGAGGCTGAGTGTGCTCATTCATCGAGCTTTCGGGATGGTCTAATCACAAGAACCGGGCGCTTACTGGCAGCTGAACTCGCCGCGCATTCTGTCTCTAGCCTCTCTGTAAAGCTGGTCAACGCGGCCCTGCATGAAATGGAGCATTACTCAGAAGTTCAGGGATGCTCTACCTGCGGGGTTTAAGAAGAAATCCCGGAAGTTTCGCACCTGGTAGAGTTTCAGAAGCTGGGCCCTCTTGAGCTTGAACGTCGGCGTCATGAGGTCCCTCTCCATGTCGAAGGGGGTCGGCTCAAGGTGGATCGCCTTCACCATCTCGAAGCCCCTGAGCTGTTCCGAGAAGATCGAGCTCCTGAGCCAGATGTCCTCCCCGGTGTGTTATCGACAGGTTGCTCGGAGACCTACCTGCTGGCCCCTGGCGGTCTTGTCCAGCTCCTCGAGGACGTGCTCCCTCGCCTTCTGATTCTCGCAGAGCGACTGGAAGCCGCCGGAGAGGCCATTCGCCGCCGCCCAGTCCTCGAAGGGCCCCTTCTCCGGGACGACCACGCCGACGAGGAAGGACTCGAAGCTGTTCCCGTAGACCCAGATCTGCGGCGCGTCGGTCATCATCCGAATCGTTCCGTAATCGAGGAAATATTTTCGTACCAGGAATCTCGGGGAATTCATATGGTTTTCGGGGGGACGAACTCACTGAGGCGACGAGGCGGCACTGGCTGTAGGCTCTCTCGATGCTCTCCACAGCGATGTACTCTCCCTGCGACAGCTTGAAGATGTTCTTCTTCCTGTCTATGATCTTCATCGCGCCATTCGGTTGCCATTCCCCGACGTCCCCTGAATAAATCCACAGGAAGAAGCTCGAACCAGAGCTTGGAGGCATGGAGAAGGGGAGGGTGGGTGGGTGCTGTTGTTTCAAGGGTTCGTTTCTCACCTGTGTGGAACCAGCCGTCCTCAAGAACGGCGTCGGTGAGGTCCGGGCGGCGGTGGTAGCCGGAGAAGAGGGTCTTCCCTCTCAGGCAGACCTCCCCGCGGGGTATCTCGGAGAGGGCGTCGTAGCCCATCTCCGGGACCGACTCCAGCCTGGCCTCGACGGTGGTCACCGGCACGCCCACCGTCCCCATCATCGGGAACACGTTGGCTACGGAGGTGAAGCACCCGGCGCAGCTCTCTGTGAGGCCTGCAAATCGAAGACGGGGGGAGATCAAAAACGACCATGACGATACTTCAGAGCTTGATTGATACAAAGCTCTCAGTGTCCCTCCTTCCTCCACCACCAACCATATCCTTGGATCACGACGCTGCAGGTCGCGACCCTCAGGAACTCCTCCACATTGCCCGGCAATGGCGCCGCCCCGGAGATGAGGATCCGCACTCGCCCACCCAGCACTTGCTTGATCTACGGCGAGAATCATCTCACATTCAATCAGAACATAAATCCGAAACCAGAAAGATCCCGGCGGGTGGCTGAATCGGCACCTTGTTGAATACGAGTCTGTCGAACAAGGGCGATGCCTCGTCCTGCTTGATTCCCCTCCTCAGGTTCTTCAGCTTGCTGCAAACAGCACACGACAAGCAAGCTTCGGCCAAGTTAGATCCCTGACAGATGTTTCATGCGCGAGAATCGACGATTTGAGCAGTGACTCTTCCGCACAAGTCGTAAGCGTATTGGAACAGCTTCTTGGCCAACGCCCCGCCGGAGGAAAGCTTCTCGTGGACACCTTCAGAAGAACAGAACTCGGATTAGCTAACAGGCCGGACGAACAATGGGGATCAAACTGGTGGGGTACAGAATAAGCTCGAGGAACAGACTCGTGTACACGCGCTCGTAGATTCGAGGAACGCCGCAGAAAATCGTCGGCTTTAATTCTCGGAGATCCTCCATTAAATAGCGAACATCCTGAAAACGCCAGTACGGGAGAATTTTTTAAGAAAAAAATGAATTTTTATGATCGAGATAATATATATATATTTTAAAAAATAAATCTAACAGGGGAGTTTGCTAGTTCCTACCCCTCGCCAGTACCCGATCGACGCTCCCTTGTAGATGCAGTAGTTCTCCATGATCTGGTCGAACACGTGGGCCAGGGGGAGGAAGGAGAAGTAGGAATCTTCTTCGGTCACCTGGATTCCATACCAGAAATGGAAACTTGATTCACATGAATAAATGTGTGCGGATTATCTGGTTTTCAAGTTTGGGCATGATTATCTCGTGCTGTGAGAAAAAAAAGATTAGATTTTTATGCGACCGCGCGCTGATTGATTAGAACCCGTTGTGAATATTCATGAAATTTAGGCCAAATATTCACCAGGGAGACGTTGACTTTTTCCAAAACGGGCGGAAATCTAAGGCCGGAACAGAAGGGTTCTTCCATTTCTGGGTTTAGAATGCTACCACTTTATCCGTTTCTTGAAGGAGGAGCTCCGTGGTGACGACCTCGCCTATGACTGCTCCGTTGGTCAACCTCACGCCCTTCGGATCTCCAGTGGTTCCGCTCGTGTACATGATCGTGCAAAGGTCATCCTTGTTCTTGGGGGGCAGCCTGAAGCTGGTCTTCCCCTGAGAGGAGGGAGACAGGCTCGGGGTCAGGATCATGAAGAATAATAATACTAATTAATTTCCGTTCACAGGCTGGATTTTTATTTGGAAAATAAAGAAATAAAGATTTATAGTGGGGATGGATCATCATCCGGCAGTTTTTTTTTTTTGCTTGTTAATTATCACTCTTTTTTTCTTTTTTTACTGTGAACAAGAAAGGAAAGAAATTAAATAATAATTTATAGCTTGCTTGAGTGGAATAAAGAAGAGTAACCGTTAATAGTCAACTGCCAGATGAACTCCTCCTCCTCCTACCGAAGAGAATCATATGATTGCAGCTAATTGCGATCCATGGAGAAGGAAAGGGCAGCTGATGGGATCCACCCACCGATGAAGAAAACTCCTCCCAGGAGAAGCAGGAGACGCCAAGCTGGGACGCTTCTCTCTCCTGCGCAGACGCCACCTTCCCGAAGCTGACGATTGCTGGGCGAAATTGCCATGAAAAAGATGCTAAGTAGGAGGAAAAATGTCGCTGCCCCAAAGACAGTTGCTGAAAATTAGGAGGGGTGATGTGATGCTCGCATACTCTTCAGATGTGAAGAACAGTTGGGGAGGCAGGCTAAAACCTGAATAACGCAAGCACATCACCATTACGCGGATAGAAATCAAAAGCATCAAACCCTAATTCACTAAAACAAAAACTCAGATCTTTCATCCGATCAAGAACTGTAAAGTGCGCTTCTTTTCATCCGATAATTCATGTAATTATGTAGTTCGAGCTTGAGCTCGACAACTAAGCACACGGATGAAGAGAAGAAATTCTATTTTGCGCTGTGGAATGCGGGCTATTATTTCTCATATTCTGACTGCTCAATCGCTTTTATAATCTTCCGGTCTTATAGAAGCTGAGATCATATGCCTTTCTATCTCTCAATCAACGAACTGAGAATCGGGCATCATGAGCCACAAATGAAGGATTCAGAAGAGCAGGACAATCGCTTGAGATTGATTACAGACAGGAGTGAGGTAATCTATGTTAATTAATATATTTCACAGCATCTAAGAATATCCATATTATTATTATTATTATTTTTTAGGAAAATAATCTTCTGGGCCGAAGGGATTAGATGGGAAGATCAACTTACGGATGAGATCTTGCTCTCCTGAACGAACGCTATCGAAACCTCTGCGTGGTTGATGATGAATTCTACAGCATTAGCTCCTGCAGTGCACGCGAGGATAGAAATTATTTTTTTTTCCTTGATGGGTAGATTATATTTTCATGGCTTTTATGAAAAAACTTGGCAGTTCAAAAAGAATTTGCATTAATTTAAGAATTAAAATAAATAAAGGAAGAAAAAAGAAAACCTACCCAGAGTATCGTAGAGGGGCACATAGCAGACGCCATGACTGTTGCAGGCCTGTCCAGAGACCAAACGGAACCATCAAATCAGGGGGTATCTCAGAAGTCGAAGTCAACCCTCACGTGTTCTATGATGCCAGCCAATATGATTTTCTTGGGAATTATTTAAATAAAAATGTTGGCCCTTTGGTTAATTAGAATATTTAATATCTACATAAATGTGAACCCCGAGGGGAGAAAATACCTCCATCGCAATCACCCACTCTGGGCAGTTGGATCCGTAAATTCCGCAACGATCTCCCTGAATCCGAGTAAACCCATTAAAAGGGTAGAGAGATCTACGGCTTAAATCGCAGGGGGGCGGCTGAGGATGACTCACCGGGTTGACCCCGCGCTCTCTGATGGCGTTCCCAACTTGGATGGCTTTCTTGTACACGTCTTCGTAAGTTCGCCACGCATACGGACCCGCCTACAGATGAACAAGAATCCCAGATTATGATCGGTGGGCCTCAGAGAGTCAAATGTGGGCCTTTAATCATCGTGTGATCTGGGCAGTTTGTGGGCGTCCGAGGAATAAGAGATGGTCTATATGTGTGAGTAAAGTCAACGCGTGGTGATGGGCATTGCCGCGGGGGAGGAATGAATAACATGCGTGCGAACGTAGTACCTCGCCGTCAACGACCTCGCGCTGGCCGAGCATGGAGTTTCGAGGGTACCTCTTCACTGATCCACTGAAGAAGAGAGAAGATCAGTTAAGCGCTCTGCTATAGAGAGTGATGCTCACTTACAAGGGGAGCCGTCGGACTTCCACACCCAGAAGCTCCGTTCTCTGTGAGAGATTATGGAAAATCTCGGCCGGTTTACGTTCTCATGGCGCAGGAACGGGGAGATGACTCGATGGTGGCGAAAACCTGCTGCCCCCCATGACCCGAATGGAGAGAGAGATGGGCACACCTGAAGAACTCCCAGGGGGATTCCAATCCACTGGGCAATTCAGTCAGGCCGTCCTTCGCGTAGACGCACCGATAAACGGGGCCGGCGGAGGGCTTCCCGCCGGTGCTCGGCCGCGACTCCTCCACTTTGACGGTGTACACCTCCATTTCCTCCGCCGATCACTCTGGACGCTGACCGAAGGAGCAGGAGGAGGCAAGAGCGCTCTGCTGGGCTGCGGTGGGGAGGTGAAGATGTATACGGCCATCGACGGCGGGGAGCTTGCGAAGGGGGCCCGCGGCACGGGAGCCTGGCTGCCCGCACCAGCTTTAAAAGGCCCTGCAGATTGTGGGGCTTCTTCACGCGCCGCGCCGTTGAGATCGCCGGAGGCCGGCAATTAAGACGTGCAGAGATAAGGCAAAAACGGGGAGGGGGAGGCTCCTCTCTCCGATAACAACCACCCTCGGGGCGGCGTTTATGAGGGAGGGCCTGCCGCCTCTGTCACACCCCTCCTCTCTCCTTCACAGCGGGGGAGGGATGTCTGCAGCAGATGACGTCACTCGACCGTTGGCTGCCACCATCTTGTGGGCCCACCAATCGAAGCCCAGTACAGAGATGGGCTGCCACGTGGGAAAGTGGAAAGGTTGACTTTTTTCGCACCTAGATGGTCCGGGGCTCCCAAAATCCGTGAGGAAGAGACGTCCTTTGATGGGCACCGATTATCTGGCGGGGTATATTTCGTCATCCTCGTTGACTTCCCCAACCCTCAATTGACTTTCCGAGGGATGCCCAAAAGAAGAAGAAAAACAGAAGACAAGGAGGATTGCCCAGAGCATAAAAGAATGGATCGAATCATCCGAATACATAAACCAAGCAGCAGCATCACACAGTTGACTTCCTAGCCATCGCATCCGGGGGGGAGGTGGGTTTATCTTACATGGTGGCAAGAATTTTCCTCATTTCCGCCACAGAAGGCGTGGTCTCGTCGGGGTAGATCTTCCCGATGAGCTGAGAGAAGCTCTCGTACCTGTCGAGGAACTCCTTCTGCAAGAAGAAGAGGAGGGGAGTAGCTTGAGATCTTCCGGGCGCGGGCGCCAGCAGAGTCAACGCCTAATATCCATGAGACGTACCTTGCATTTATCCCACAGGGATGATAGTAACTCCTCCGAGGTCAGGTTCTTCTGTAGCTTCCGGTACATGTTCGCGAGGGACTTGTCAACCTGCAGCAAAGATCATTCACCTTCCGCTGTGCCCTCCAAGAGGTCAACGCATGAGACTTGTGATTTTACTTACATTCGACAGGCTGGCCTTTATCGTCTTCCTCATATCCATCTTGGACAAGCCGATCTGGTAGGAGACCTGAGATGAAACCGGGGAAAAGTCTTTCAGTTGACGAGAGGCGCCATGAGAGGGATGGATTCATGCAGTGCGGCAGGCCTCTGGTTCTCCACATCATCGGCCGGTCAACATGTCAAGATAATTTCCAAGTTTCCTCCTACTTCTGTCATTATGAACCCTAAAAATGAGGAGCCCATTCATTGACTAGTCCGGGGCAAAAACATTAACCAAACAGATTGTAGCAAGGATCGATCGGAGCCGTATTCGAATCATGAGATGGTTGACTAAGTTGCTAACGAGTGGGATACTCCTAGCACCCGGCTGCCTGCAATGTATTGAGCAGTGACAGGAGGTGGTCAATGGCTTGCCGCCATGGATAGCTTCTTAGTCGCAGAGTTTTCCAAATGTTTTGGAGATAATTCACATGGAGAGGGAAGTGGATAAATTTATGGAAAAATAAAGTTATCAGGGGAAAAATCACACGAAAAGCCCTCAGATTTCATGGCTCTTCTCACCTCTTCTGCGGGAATTGTGTACAAAAGTTCCTCGATTTTCCGGGCAAACTGAAACATTCTTTCGAATTGCTGCAGCCAAAAATATATATCAAATAAATATATGTGCTCTCAGAGGATTTAATTTATTTTCTAAAAACCTGGATTACAGGCTGGCACAGTAACTCAGTGATAAAATATATACATATATAATAAAGTCTCACCAAGTATATGATCGCAGTGATATGGCGTGTGCAGGCTTGTTCATAGGCTTCACTGGCCTGATGGTAGAACTTCGCCAGAGTGGGCACCACGTTCGCTAGATCATAAAGACTGCAGACGAATAGTGCATTTATGAAATCATTCTTCGGTACGAAGAACATACAAGACGAGTATTATTATTTTTTATTTTTTATTTTTACGGTTCAGTATATATTAAAAAGGAAAATTAAAATATGATAAAACGACTCTAGATGAGAACGCTCCGATTACCTGTTCTGGAAGGCAGCGTAGTTCTCTAGGAGCACAATGTCAGCAGACTTTGGATCAGCTTGTGCAATTTTCTCGAGAGTGACGAACATGATGCTCACCTGTTTGAAAGAGCAGTTTCATAGCTCTATATCAGTCGGAGAAGACTAATTAACAACCGATTGATACCAAACAGAGAGACATATTGTTTTAAATTAGTAGGGTTGACTAAGAAAAGAATCAGACAACAAATCCCGTTTTCAAAGCATGTCGAGAAATGGTTTGCATCAAAGAACTAAATTGAACTATCAGTTTTTTTCACAAAATTTTACTGTAAACGCCAAGATATAGAGTTGGTGTAGCAAGGAAAGAGGTCGGTGGATGCAGTTCACCCAACAGTTATAGACTAACTGAGGATTTCACCCATCTCTCCCTTCACTTTTCTCGTTGACCTTTCTCCCCACCAAATCATCACCTTCTCCTGCCAAATCTGCCTAAAAATTACTTATTTTAATTATAGGCTGTACCAACTGATACCGCTGAAAGTTTACCTTTGTTTGTATCAGATACGACCATGCTTTGATAAAAAAGCTAAACCAAAATACCTTTTGGCACGTTGGGTTTAAACAATGAGATCCAGATTTATCCTCCGACTTCAAAATTATAAGTTATTGTTTCCAATATTTTCCAAAAATGGAAAAGGATATATGACGAAGGATACACAGTTTTGATAAAAAAAAGGTACATCAATTTCTCAACTCAACCAGCGAATGTTTGAAAGTGACATGAACTTTATTTCTTTTAAGGGTGATGAGAGATAAAAGACATTATAGAAAGTTTACTCACAAATTTAGTATATGCCTGATCAACTAAGTCCCTCGATTGTCCCTGTATATATTGTTCCATTCGAGTAGCAAGAGTCGCGAACCTGAATATGATTAGATGAATAACACAAACATTACAGAATTTGTGAGTAAATAGTCAAGTAAAATAAATTAGATTAACAACCAAATATCATAGTTTCCATTGAAGGAACACAAAATCAATTTACACAATAAGTTCAAACCAAAGTTCTGAGGCGAATCCAGGCTAGAGATGGAAATTGTAGCCCTTGATTGATCTGATCATAAGAGAAGGGGGAAAAAAAAGAAAAAGACCTGCCCATGAGAGCCGAATTTGAGGATCTCCTTTCACAGGCCACGAGAACCTGAATTTACCATCATTGCAATGATTGTGACGCTTTGATTTTGGAAAGGAACCACATTATTTAGCGACTAGAAGGGCTTATGAACCGAAGTTCAAGGGATGAGATTTGATGATGATGCTGGCGTAACTAGGCTTGGAAGACAAACAAAAAGCACACGAACTTGCGGGTACAACAGATCTACACTAGCGCAGACTGTGGATTGCACCAAGCAAGGCTGATCCGATTCCAATCAAAGGGACTGTGTCTCGACCGAAATCAACTTAGAAACATCAAAACGCCATTAAATAGGATCGAGAATTGATGACCTTATTAATTTTACGACAGAACAGAACTATTGGATCGTGATCTGAGTCATTTGTGCGATCACAGATGCCCTTCATTTCCAAAAAGAAAAAAGTTTATTATGGTTAAAAAAAAAGAAGTATATTACTCCATACACGAAGTTGTTTTCTGGAGGAAAGTGGTCGCAAAGGACATCTATCATAATTTGTATGATTTTAAGTTGAAAAAATGGGTAGCCAGTAAAAGTTTGTCGAGGTCAGATTCCAAAAGGCAAGTTCCACAAAAAAAGGCGATCAAAGATACCACGAAAAAACTGACCGTTCCTCTAGTTCTCCCGTTTCAACAAGTTCAAGAAAAATGCAACTCATGCCATATGTAAAGTCTTTACGAAAACAATGATCTATCAATCTCAAAAGCTTTAAAATGGAATATCCAAGGGACAAGGTAAAATGGAGATTTATTCCACGACAAGAGATTAAACCTAACCATATAAAGAAAGGATAAAAATAAAATCCATAAGATCCGCTAGAAAACCAAGAAAGCCTGTTACCGCCAGATGGTTAATTAAAAGAGATGCCTTTTTACCTAGGGATGTAGGAGAGAACACCCATTTGCCTTACATTACGTTCGTTTCTTTCAATCTGACGACAAGCTTCATCAACAAACTGTGATCAGAAATAGCAGTATAATATGTCAAGTACACAAAACAGTTTAGAAAAGAAAAAAACAGATCAACAACAGAAAGCAAGTCCTACCTTGGTGAACTGATCAGAAATCCTTGTTTCAAGGTCATCAAGTAAGCGGCGGACAAATCCTGCTGCATCAGCTTTCTGACCAGATAGATAGCGTTCTGTAATACCATGCATCGATATGCAGCGCAAAGGATCAATCTTGTAAGCCCAATCCACAACGGCATAAAAATCTTCCTGATGAAAAAATGTACAATACAAATCAATCGATTTTCCGATCCATGCTAGACTTTTAAGTCTTCACGGCAGAAAAGAAAATCAGCCACCTTTTTAAGAAAGTGCTATGGGATTCCAATTAAGAACTTGACCTGTGTCTACCCAATCACAGAACAAATGCCAGAACATTACATCGTAGCTACTTCTAAGTTGAAATGAGGAATAACTCAACAAACCCAGAATAGCTCATCTAAAATAACGGATGAGAACATCTAATTGGAACGAAAGCTGACCGAAAATGTTGAATGATGTTTAAAACCTTTTACCTGGATACCGTCAAGCAGTTCATGAAGAGCTTCATTCAATGCACCCAACTCAGCAGACTTGCCACCTGTCATGAAAGTTCAAAGGAAATTCGATTTTCTTCTATTTGAAAAGGAGATGCTAGGGATATTTTAGACAAGTTACCAGGAGGAGAAATTTACCAGATTTTGTGTCGTCTCCATCAATATCCATGATCCCTAAGTCATTATCATTGCTGTCATATTCATCAGCTCCATTTCCATCACCACCAACAGTCATGGATTGCGGTACAAGTGCGGGAACTTCGAAGCACATGAAATGTGCAAAGAAAGAACTCTGTACGATAGACCACCAGGAAACAAATAACTATTTTCTATCCGTAATATCCTTATTGCACAAAATACATCAGAGAGTTCAGAAATTAACCTCGTCTACAAGAAGAGGAATAAAAATGGTAAGCATCTTAGAGTATGCCTCGGAAACATTTGAAGTATCCGCACTATTTGATGGCTGACTGGAACCTGAAGAAGGTTCAAGCCAAGCACTAGGACTTCTTGATGTCTTTGTACTGGCACGAAGCTCATGTGCAAACTCACGAGCCTGCAAAACAATAGAAGGCCAGAAGCATGTTCGTAAATGCATGTATGTTGTTACATACATCCGGTTATCAAAGGAAAGATGTTTTCTCATTGAATAATCTTCATTTATTTTATTGCCACAAAGGCAATGGTCCGAATGAAAGTAGTTAACAGAATTTCAACGTGGACGCCAAAGGTACTCACTCTTTTCCACCCAAAGCCGAAACATCAAGAACAAACAATCAAACACTAAGTCAAGAAAAAAGAATACAAAAGTAAATGCGATACTTAGAATATAATCATGACCAACAATTTCGGAAAATGGTAAAGCTCTAGTACACTCTTTAAATGTTATTTTCACATCTACACGTCTAAAAGTCGCTTCGACATATGCCAGCAGATGAAAGTCACTGCAAAAATACCCCAAATCATTTGATGAAATTTCCTAAAAGTCGTATCGTTAAAAGATTACATAGTTATAAAAAAACGAGATATTTCAAATTGTTTGCCGACATGGATGGAGCCAGGCAAACTCTTTGAAATAATTTCAGTGCTAGACATGAGCCAAAACACTAACTGATACAAACTACTTATTACTGAGAAAGCAGGGAATGCAATCTGATTGTATACAATAACTTGGGAGTAAAATGGCTTGATGAACGCACGATTGCTACCGGGAGGAGAAACAGCTTCATGGGAAGAGAATATGATTTAACATAAAATATTGTAAAAATAAAATAAAAATGAAGACGACAGATTTCAATACGGATCAAAGTTCGATTATTGAAATTAGTGCATTATAATATAAGTTCACGTCCCATTTCTCTCCCTTGTTAACACAACTGTAAGATTATGAGAATGTGTGTGAATCAATCTGTCTATGGCGTGAAAGCACACAAGAAGGTCCACACCACAAGCAAAGGCAAGCCTTTCTACGAAGGAGGTTTTAGGTCACAAACTGAACCGTTCATACTGTTGAGGGTTGGAATGCGGTATTACTCTCATTTCTTTACCTACCATCTTTCTCATAATCTCTCCCAACAGCGGCAATTTCAAACTAGTTCTGGCCAACTTCTCTCATATGTGTCACAAAACAGCTGACCTCTCATTCTCTCAAGGCCTCTTGGAGGTGAGGAGATTATTGAAGCTTGTCACTGTGCAGCAAAGCAATGCCAGTGTTAACCATCCCCTACCCACAAAAAAAGGCACAGCTTGGGCACGTTCTTTGTCACAGAAGGGGAGTTTCCTCTCAACATTGTGCTCGGCTACATCCATGACACCTAGCAGTTGATTAACGCATAAAGAAGTTTGCTGGTATTCGAAGTTTGTAGAAGTTCTCAGAGTTTACTACTGTATAAATCCAATAGACTTACTCTCACAATGTGGTAGTGAGCCATTTTAGAACATGAGCCTATTAGGTCAGCCTATTTAAAGTCTTATGATGTAATACTCTCTCACCTCTCTACATATAATGGGTGGAGAAGAAGCTGCGAACGATAACATTAACATCTAATGCGTGATTTGAGCCTAAGAATCGGGTTCCCTATAACTTCTCCTGACGCTACTGCAACCGCTGTCCTCGACCTCCTCATCTTTTTAGGGTGAGAAAGGCAGAAACATCAGCTCCCGCATATGTTGCTCAAGTCTTGTGAACCTTTGCAACCACCGCATCTGCATGTAAGCTCGGTCACTCATAACGTGAGACATGAGTAATCACGAATTGATCCTTTGCCATTTGATATCTCTTCTGTGAAATTCTATTCTCAAGACACAAGGAGGAGAAGTCTCACAGAAAACTATTGTCTCAGCTCTACTGATCCGACTTAAGTCTGGAAACTCGTACTTTGGCTAAAATGACAAACTCTACAATACCAGCTTAAGTCTGGAGTCTCCTTTGGCTTTAATGTCAAACTCCACCGCACCAGCTTAACTCTAGAATCTCCTTCTTTGGCTTTAATGACTAGCTCTACTGCAACAGATTAAATCTGGAGACTCTTGCTTTGCCTTCGTTGCTAAACTCTACTATTTCAGCTCCATATTTTATATGATATTTCTGCTTTAATGCCAACTTCTACCGTACCGATTTAATCTCCAGCATCTACAATAAAGTCAATGCCAACCCGTACGACACTGCCTTCAGCAGTCGCATTTCCTACTCTGGCTTCAACTCAGGGGGTTTTCTTGTCCAATTTCAGCACCAATCTCATGCATTCTCCGTAACGAGCTTAAACAAAAATTGATATGCATTTTCAGCTCGAGAACGAGCTTTAGTGTCTATCAGAATATGAATTCAATAACTCGCTATCACAATGGGTTAAAGAATTTTTTAAAATATAGGTCAGGTCGGCCAAAAGTATATCCCATGGTGTAATGCCCAAGCCCATCTCCACGTAGGGGGGGGCGGGGGGAGACGAATGTTAACCCTGATAATCTCCTTCTATTTTTAAAATAACCTATAGGACTAAGAAGTTGACAGAATGATAGGTTCAAGTTTTCGGGCATATCTTACTGTTTGGTTCAAAGGCTAATGGCTAAGTAGATAATGTACCGACTTGAAACTATGGCACATTTTGTCACAGGTTGTCCTGTGGAGCTTAAAGCCTAGGGTGAGAATGGTATTTTTGAAGGATACCAACGAATTTCTCGGTGCAGCCTTTCTTCAAACAAGAAAATAAGGGGGCAAGGATGAGCAGGAGACTCCCGTCCCCTTGTCAAAATCAGAGGCAACTCTAATTGTCCATATATTTTACAAGCAATACAAACAAACGTCAAATGTGCATAAAGCAGAAACGAAAGGACGTTTTAAGGTAAAATAATCTACTAAACGCACCAAAAGAACAGATCAGGGGTGTTTATCACTGACCTCTCTACGAAGTAGAAGATTAAGAGAACGACAGTAAGCTTGCCTCAAAGGACCCAAGCAAGTATTGTCAAGACTCTGAACATTTACAGTAAATAAGGAAAGTCAGCCAAAAGAGAAGAGGCAATTACAGTATCAAGGATGATAAAAACGTAGCAACCTTCAAATGTTGCAAAAGCCGTGCGTAAGTCCTACACTTATATCTCAGGTCAGCATGATCAGGCCTCTTTAACTGACCTCGCTGAATGCATCCAAAGAAATAGCAATGAATCAGCAATTACAGAAAAAAGTTTAAACATGCTAACAACTAAACAAAACTGGACCAAGATCTACCTGAGAAAAATAGCTCTTGTCTGAGATCATAAAATCAACTAAGCTGGCAAAGTAGGCCCTCAAAAATTCTGTTGCCAGCTTAACAAATGTACTCTTCAATTTTTCGAGTTCTGTACGTTTTTCCTTGACCTGCAGGAGTTTATACATCAACCTCCGGAAGAAACTTTTTCGATCACACTTTTACAAGAAAAATAAAGTAGCTTCAATGCCGCCATTATCTAAACAGGAGCATAACTTTTTTGAAATGCAGATCCCCCAGGCATAATTTTCTAATTTAACTATAAAGGAAGACAGCAGACATACAGCACGCATATTTGCATAGCAAGGGTCCAAATGCGGGACTTCAAGAGCACGTATTGCACCAGTTAGCCATTCGCAAGCTTCAACATTCTTGATCATACGTGCTTCATCGAATGATCCTCCAGTTAGAAATGCTGCAAACTGCCATCAACATAGATAAAATAAAAGACATGCCCCTCCACACAAGGATATAAGTGGTAAGTGACAACACAAAGAACTGAAATCATGAAGCTTATTTCGGTCTGAAATATTGCCTCAGATGAGACCGTCGTCAAATTCGGAAATAGGTAGCAATCCAAACAAGTAACATTTTGGACACGTGAACAGATGCCTACCAATAGTTTATAGGTATGTTAATCACAATCGTGGGACTTGTATATGACAGATGGCATGAAGAAACAAGATAAACGGGAAATTATCAGACAGTCCAACATTGTCTCCATACCATTAATTCTATGGGACAAGCACAAGCTTGTAGTTTACAGGTATCAGACGGCATGGGATAATGAAATTTTAATCAGACCTGAGGCTAATGTATCGCCATGACATCTTACATCCCTATCTCCTTTATATCATGAAATATAAACATGTCACGAAAGAAAAACAGCTCCACCATGACTGGCTCATATAAATTTGAACTGTGTTGTCCAAAGAAAATACCTCATTAGGAATACGCAAACGTTCAAGTAACTTGTCAAGCTCCTGAATAAGTGCTTCGTTGTTCACAGATTGCATCTCCAACTTGTTGTTTCGGGATTCTATCTGGAATTATCAACAAGGAAATGCGATAATTCTACAAAAATGCAGACATAACATAATTGGTACGCTAAAAATTATAGTCTAGTATGAAAGAAACATACGTTGCGGAAAACATCACGTAATTTATGCAAAAAAAAAAAAAAAACGACCCCACTAACTTGTGTGAGAAAAATGGAAATGTGCAATACCACAGGATGTAAAGCTACCAAAATTCATGAGATGCCCCGGATTGTGGACTAATTATGAACTCATTATGAACTAAATCAACATAATTTTCGTTCTACACAGTCGCCACCACGTTATCAGATTGGATGTATAAAGTCAAGGGGAACATCTCGCTGAGTGTTAATGGGAGGCTGCATTATACACGTCGCAACCTTCTACCACTTTACACCTGAGAAAAGCAAGAGGGATCATTTGCTTGTGACGTTAGTCATAAACATAGGAAGGGACACAACCCAGTTCCCCTGAAGCAATCAGAAAACACAACTTGAAAGGGACCCAACAAATAAGACTGTTTTGTGTAAAAATAACTCAATAAACCTAATGTTGGCCATGTCATCAACGCAGCTACATCAACCATATAAGTAAGAATACCAGCAAGCCCTGAACTGGCTGAATATGTTTAAGCTAGCAGGCATTTAAAACGAGATATTTCTACAGTCGATAGCCTATTTCGAGAAAAAAGTTGCGAATGCATAACCCCTTACCAGCCCTAAAAGTATGCATCCTTTGCTAATTAGGCTCTTAGTAAAAAAATTGTATTTCGAAGCAAGGTGCTCTATTTCATCATTAAGATAGCTGTATGCACATCTTTTACTTTGATCTCCTCTTAATTAGCGCTCCCCTCAAGGCTATCACAGTAATAATATGACCAGTAACATCATGCTTTTCTCTATTTTTTATAAAGAGAAAGTTATCCAATTTTATTTTCTTCTTGTGATATTGTCTCTCAATTTCTGCAGTTTCATAACAATACCCATTTATGCAATCTTGCCACATTTTTCATAGTCCTAATGCCATCTACTCCCAAAAATTCTACAATATTGTCCGTTTTTTTTTTCTTGCACTCTATTATAACCACAGCCCTACCTTTATGTCCACTTTAGCAGGTGCCTGCACCTCATGTCATTTAGCACAACTTGGGCAGGTTCAAATAAAAACGCACTGAAGACACTACCGACCAACGAAGATTTCTTATTCACACTTCTCAAAAAAATAACCCAACTGCATGAATGTTTAAACTTTTACTTCAATCAAGTAATGCCGACAAACTTGAAGAATGCTAACGTCAACATGAAAATCCTTATTCAAATGTAAAGGCAGTACCGATTCAATATCCTCCCTCATATGTCTGAGCTTCAAGTTAAAAATACTTAGCCACTCCTCCATATCCTCGACGCAGACAGTAGCTACATCTAGTCCCTGTAATACCTGCATAGTTTTCATGGTGAAATGAGTTAACGACTGTACCTATCTAAATACGTCCGTTTCAAGGGGTTGAAAAGAACAAGGAAATAATGAGGGTATCAAATTCAAATGAGAGCACAAAAAATTGAACAAAAAGTAATTCTGTACAGAAAAATAATGAGCTAAAGAGAAATATACACAAAATTCATGTATTGTGACATGTACTGCTACTTACGTGGAAGAAAATCATGGAGAAATTTTTACACATGTAAGAACTTATTTCGTACCTCTTCTATCAGAGGCTCGCTCTCCAGAAGTGCATGAACATTTGCTGCTTCCAAAGCAAGAAGTTCTCGCTTCAATCTTTCAGAAAATGCCTCTGCTTCACCAATGTCCATGACAAATCTGGAAAGAAGCGCTGTGTTTGAGTTATATGGCAAACAAAGAAGCTGGAGCGCTACTTATATGGCAACTATCAGATTTGCCTAAACTATAGATGACTATGTCTCAGGACCTTGCCTACTTTTTGGGCTTAGTAGGAGCGCTACTTTCAAACAAATAACATGTATTACATGCCAAGTCAACTAACTACTTCACGTAAATTCGAGACTTGATAAACAATATGTTTACAACAGCTATAGAAGCCAAAACTGCTCACGCATATACGACTAACAAAGGTAGTCCATCCATCTAGACAACTGCCTTCAAGACAAACATTCATACTGTGCCCAATTCAACAGATGACAATCTATTTTCAATCTAAAGCCAAGAGCCCTACTGTGTTGAAGATGAGAAATTGTAATAAACAAAAAAGTAAGCCATTTAACTAGAACATGATTGACATTAGAGACAAGACGCCAACATTCAGATTAACACCTTAGTCTAATCACTAACAATTAGAATTTAGCAAAGTATAAATTTATGAAATTGAACCACGAGCAAATTGGCTCGGGGAAACCTTCTAAAATGTTTTGCCAAGCCGACTAACACAAAATAGTTGAATCATAACAAAGAAAACTGTTGAAATATGGGATGTAAAATAAGACCTACGTGCCAAGAAGTGCTTCCATGTCCTCTTCCTCAGCTTGTGAAACAAGGTCTTGCTCCACAGTCACTTCTGAGTCAATTTGGGCTGTCAGAGCTGCAGCCGGTCCATCTTCTGCCTTGACTTGAGCAGTAACAGAGGGTTTATTTTCCTGGATAAAATTTTCAAAATAACGGTCATCCAAAACTGTTAACGTAATACTAGAATTGCAATACATTTTGAAATAATGTAATATGATGCGCTGCCAAGGAAATTTTTTTATAAACGCAGTATAATGATGACTCTTCCTAAGAAAAGAACGTCCAAAAGATTTTAATATCGATATAGAAATAACCCACTAGGCTTCCAATCAACCAACAAGCGTGATAGATTACCTGTTTTTAGTCAGAAAGTCATTAAATTTTATCTGGCTGCATGAGGATTTCAAACAAGATACTAGCATTACTTGTGAAACACGAATAAGACTGAAAGATTGTACTTGATTGAATTTTAAGATTGGGTCAAAACTGTCAATAAGTACCTACATTTTCTTATTTTCTGAAAACCATCAACCTTTTGCATTAAGGACAAATTGAAAAGCACAAAAAAATAATTTATAACTCCAAATCCACAAAACATTTTTCTGATTCCAAACGAATGTGAACAGAATGGCAGAATAAGATGCGTCCCCAACTGTGGGTGGATGATGATGAGAGAATGAAATGTGGTTTTTCCTCAAAAAGAATGGATCCATTCAGTCCCAGATTTTTTTACAGGAGAAGTTTCTACGAAGGAAACGAACTATGATCCATTTTATGTCTTGATATCCTTGAACATATAATGTGAGGAGAAGAAAATCCAAAAAAAATCAAATTAGCTACTGAACGATGCCTGAAATGGTATTCAGTAAATGCTAGGATAACATAATGTTAACAAAACAGAAGGGATAAAGAAGTGCACCTTCGCCCAGAGAGCCATCTCCACAATATCAATGCCCACAAATTTGGGAATGTGACCCAATACTTCTTTGCAGATGTGTAAGAAGCAAAGAAGAAGACGATTCCTAGAGGAAAAAAAGGTGAAGAATCTTAGCTATGTAAACATGGCACTTCTTCTCAATAAAAGAGCAATGGGATTAGTAAGCCGAAAACAGAGGTACACTTGCAATTAATTTGTGCACCAAGCATATAAGAAGTCATATCTCTCAACTAACTCTCACCGGTCATCTATGTTTCTCATGGTCCATTGTGAGGGAGCGACACTTTGACTCCGGAGGTTATCAAAGCCCTGCAAGAGCCACACAACAGTGAGAGGATGGTCGGGAATCTGCCAGTTATCTGAAAGGTAAATTATGGCCTTTCACCCTAAAAGTCTTTGAATAAGACAAAATTCTTCTTCACATAGAGAAATAGTGATGGTAAACAAGAATCTAAAATATTACCAGCATGAATGTACAACCACTGGGATCATTTGGAAAAACTTCCACTTTGGTGAGATGCTTTAGCTTATAAAGTTTTGCTGGCTGCACATTCAACCGCAGGAAGTATGTTAGTGATAAATAACAATTGACCTACTGACACGAAGTTTTGCTGTTGATGCTAAGGGGGGCACAGAAAAGATATGCATGCAGAATCTAGATATACAGTTCTTTTAGAATGGAGCAATCAGGGTTGAGCATCAACAAGTTAAAATGATCCTTTTTTATTGTTGAAATCCATTAGTACTGTGGGCAACTGCCTCCGATATTTTACTGATCAGATGGCATTGCATTGCCAATTTTTTCACATTCTTCAGGATCCAGATATTTTCTTTATTTTGCAAAAAATAAATTCGATATATTCATCGGCATATGAAAGTGAACATTGATAGAAACAGTAATTGCGAGCAACCGTCAATCCAAAATTTTATGTGTTTCGAAAAAAATATAAATAAAATTGTGTTAAATAGATCTTAATTGGTAAGAAAAAGGTACCTCAAGCACACCTCCAGATGAATATTTTAAGACATGGAGGAAAGCTTTTGTTCTTTGGGTTTTGGAAGAGTATCTGGCTGCATGAACAATTACCGGTCAGAACTATTTGATGCCATAGTATAATCAATACAGGTTTATTTTCAGGTACATGGCTTCTAGAGATGTACAGGGGAAACGTTTGATTTTAATCCGAAGATGGTCGAATAACAAATCGGGTGTCAGAATCTGTCACCCGTTTGGTATTGACATGAAACCTAAGTATATGATAGGGTAACCTTGTTTAAAAAATACTACTATCAGATAGGAGTTTCAATAAGCATCACATAAGCCTGTCTACAAAACAAGGTTATGAATGTTCCATCTTTCAGATATTTATATGCAACACTAGAAGCAAGCCGATCAACTGGTGCTTTTAAAACCCATCGTGCAGACTAATGAAAAAGAATAAAAATCTTAACACAAAACTGAAGAAATTCATAATCGTTTCCAAGGATGCAAATTCTTCCCATATGATTATTCTTCGACAGTTTGAGGTAGTCTAAGCCATAAAAATTTCCAGGTTTCTGAAGATGATGTTATATGGTGATTGAAATATAAAACTGAATGTACTTGTGTCATTGAATGACGCATCGGATATCATGTTCATGATAATTTGTCTATAAATAGCAGTTTGAAGATAAAATCAGTGTATATATGACAAGAAGAACTTTAGTTTAGAAGAAAATTCGGCTACTAAGGCAAATAAAGGATCAAATTAGAAAAACAACACAAGACCAGAACGAGAAGTTTACAATTAATGAGTTTTTTAGCCCTTGGTTATCATCATCATTTTATCCCCAGTCTTTTTTGAATCTATACATAAAACAAATATTTTTGCCGGGTTCTAATAAAATAATCCAAGAATATGGTCCTCGGGACACCTTTGCAGCATAATATTCTACCATTCGCTATCTCTGTAAGCTTGAATGATCTCTCTAACTCTGGCACTTAGAAGCTACCACGTAACAGTATATTAAAGTATTCCCTGATGAAGTGATATACTCCCCTAGTGGTAAACTTTCCTTGGAGACCACCGAGCTACAACAAGATACCAGCCTCTTCTAGTGACAACCTGATCGTTTCTAAAGGAAGCTTCACACTGATAGAATTGATCTCCTGTTTTGATCCGCACGATGTGATACTGGGCCTTCAAGATTGCACAAGAAATGGCCACACTAACGCATCAAACGACCGCAGAGACAGAAGCTCGTCCCACCATTTTCCCAGAACGCAATGAGGCATGCTTCCACCATATGACTCCCACTAACTTCACCATGGAGAATGTAGAAATTAATCGAAGTTGGGTCGGGTGTCTGATCAACCAGAGGATCAGTTTTTATGCTGCACTAGTTTCGTAAGAAATAAGGAACCGTGCTTCCCAGTAACAGACTAGCACGACGGAAACCTCCTTGCACATGCAAGCTAACTAAAACTTCTGTCACAGAAAACCTGTCTAAAGGTCAGCTGCATCTGGCTGCTTCGTCTTCGAATTCAATGCTAACTCAACTGTCACCTGCCCGAGGCAAAATCAGGTTTTCAAGTAATACTGCCGACCACTTTGTCACCTTTACTATGGCCGGAATTCCCATTGATACTTTCCCCGGTGAACTCGGCAGCGTAATCAGTTCAATTCTGCGATCCCGAATTAACCGGAGACCGAAATGTTATAAAGTATTCACGGGATCAAGAGTGCCTACGGCCTTTCAGGTGGCCGATTCAACGGTCAAAATACGCAGTGAAAGGAAAAACGAATGTGCCCGGTAACGCCGTCGAGAGATCCGGTGAGGCGCGGCGGGACAAAAATATGAGGAGGCCGTGATGCTCGTGATCATCGGAGACGGGATCAACGACCAGAACTGAGCCCCGGGGAGGCGAGGAAAAGGGAAAGAATGCGTGCATACTGGTGACGGCGAGAACCCTTGGTTTGGCCATGTGGCGGCCAAGCCGGCCGGCCTTGCCCCAGACGCCACGGCTCTTGGCGACTCTGATCGACAGCACGACAGTCTCCTTGCTCCCGCCGCCCTCTATGGCGGCCTCGCACGCCTTTCTGAGCTCCGCATCGTCTGCGCTCGATTTCGCCATCCTACGCGGCGGTCGCCCGGCGGGACCGCGCAAGCACACGGATGAGACACCGACGAGCACCTTCACCTCTCACCGCCCCGACGCCACCTCCATCGAGCTCCCGTAGAATGAACTGATAGATCGGGAAGGGAGGGGTCGCTCCGCAAACTCGCCGGTCGTCGGAGGCTCAGGAGAATCGGAAATCCGCGTCCGATCCTTTCAGTTCCCGAAATGTTAGTCAGATCTGGAATGCTTGCCCCGCTTCCAGGACGACAAAAACAACTTAACGAACTATATACGGTCAGCCATTTTCAGATAAATCCCAAAATTTATGGGACTTATAAAAAACCCTAGATAGTATTTTTTTTTGTAAACGGCAATTACCCCGGTATTTATCTCGTATTGTCGAGGGAAAATTACCAAGGTGGAATGGAACAAAAAGTACGTACCTAAAATATTAAATTTCCCATTTTTAAATAAAATAATTCTTTGAAAAGAGTACGTTCATGGTCCGAGGGTTGACTAGTATCTGTAGGCGATTTGTGTGGTCAACGGCATTTAAAGAAGGGTGCGTTGACTTCCGAAACAATTTTTGAGGTCAAAATTTATCTCGCATGAGATTTTAGGATGGGGAAATTTATGAAAAAACCCATTTAATGAGCTGTAAAAGGGAATAAACTCCGGCCGGAAAGTGGCAGCGAAGAAGGGGGAGACGATGATCAGCCTAAAAAATGGAATAAATTAAATACACACGGGCAAAGTCGTAATTAACATGAGAGAAATCTTTACACCCGGCGGCGCCGCCGCCTCCCACCTACTCCGCCGCCCTCTTCCCCGGACGGGGGAAGGGGGAGGAGGAGGAGGAGGAGCAGAGACGCCGTCGCCGGTGGAGGAGGGGATGGAGAGAGGCGAGGAAGGAAGCGGCCGGGGGCGGCAAATCTTGTCTCCTTCCTTTCCTCGGGCCTGCAGCAATTAATCCCTTTTCTTTAAGGCGCAGGGCATTTAATTCTGCGCAACCACTAGGCCGGGCACTGCACGGCGGGTCGCCCCTGCGAAGACCCGAGGACGACGACGACGACGAAGAAGAAGAAGAAGAAGAAGAAGAGATGGTGGGGGAGGGGTATAGAGAGAGAGAGAGAGAAGGGTCTGCAGAAGCCAGCTTGCCCGCCCTCATTTAAAACCAGTAGAGTGCAGTCCGGTGAGCCATTTAATTTTTGGCGTGCGGCCCGCCATAAAGACCCTCGACCGACGATCTCCGGTGGCGGCGACGGGCTACCGGCGGTGGTGGTTCGAGGCCAAGCGGTCCGGGGAGAGGAGGGCCTCGGGATCTCCACAGCGCAGCCGGCTGGACGCCGACCACCCGGCGGCGCACGGCGGCCGGGAGAAAATCCCCACGGGGCTCGTCAGGGACCTGGTCCGCCGCGACGACGGCCCGGCGGCGCCGGCGAAACGGACGCCGGATTCGGAGAGGGGGAAGAACCCCCGCCGCCGGAAGAAGGGGGACTTGCCGGCCGTCGCGCCGCGGTAGGACCGGAAGGAGAACACCCTGGCCGTCCGGGAGGAGGAGGAGCCACCGCCGCCGCCACCAAAAGGGGACGGCCACCGCTTGCTCCAGAACCCTCGGTGGCGGTATCTCCACGGCGGTGACGCGGTGGAGCCGTCCAGAATCATGCGCTCCGCCGCCAGGTTCCGCTCGAATCCGAAGGAGTAGGATCGCTTCAGGAGGAAGTTCCGAGCGCCGCCGCTGCTCCGGTCGTCGTCCCGGGGCATCATCCCCGGGGAAGCCGCGGTATCCGGAGCGATCTCGGATAAGGAGTAGTCCGACTCCGGCGGCGGAGGCGGAGGCGGCGGCGGCGGGAGGGGAGGATCGAGGAGGAAGTCGTCAAAGCTGGGCCTGATGCGAGCAGCCCTCATCGGCACGAAGGGGGAGGAGGAGTCCTGCCGGAAGACCGCGGCGCGGCAGAGGGGGCAATTGGCGTGAGACCGCAGCCAGACGTCAATGCAGTCGACGTGGAAGGCGTGGGCGCAGAGCGGCAGCGTGCGGAGAGAATCATTCTCCTCGAACTCCACCAGGCAGACCGCGCACTCCCTGTAGAACAGGTGCCTCGCCGCCTTCGCGCTGAAGAAGGAGAGCGGCAGAGTCTTGATGGCCGAGTCGTCCAGGCCGTACGGCGACAGGAAGTAGTTGGACGAGGCGCCAGAGGAGTAGTAGTCGAAGCCGAAGCCGCCACCGCCGCCACCGCCGCCGTTGGACTCGAGGTCGGTCGACAGACCGAGGCGCCTCCGCCGCCTCCACTGCCTCCAGCGACGCCGGCAGCGACCGAGGTGGCGGGAGAGGAGGCGCACGTAGAAGACAACAAGGAAGGCCGTGCCTACCACGGCGACCATGGCGATCAGCGGGGGGCTGACGAGGTCCTCCGCCTTCCGATTCGCCGGCGGCCAGGCCACCGACGACTGGGACGGTCCCCAACCGTACTCATTCCCCGGCGGCGCCGCCGGCGCGGCCATACTCAGCCGTCGCTCAAAGCCTAGCAACTCAAGAAGAAGAAGAAGAAGAAGAAGCAGGTCTAGTCTTCGGAGTCTCAGTTTTGTACTCCGCCATCTTGTGTCAAGGAGGCGTGGGGGAAGTGTGAGTGTGGGTCTTCACCATCGTGGGCGTTATTGTGATCCGTCACGAGCACTTTATAAACCGGAACCCCTCCACATGGAGCCTTCAGGTCAGTCTATTTTTTTGATTACGACCGATAGCCTCGGATAAGCAAACTGTCATCCGGAGAGTAGAAATGGACGCTAGATCGCATGACGTCAGCCTGACAGTTGCGAGCCCCCCTCGCACCGCCAATATTAATGTGGGAAATTTATTAGTATTTCACTGAAATATATTACCATATTTCCCTCATCAATGGATGGCTTTATAGAGAACCTAACCACGCGACCACCTCCCCCCAGCACTATCTCTCTCTCTCTCTCTCTCTGACGTCAGCTTCCATTTATGATGAATAGTTAGCTTATAATTTAATGCGATAAGTGCTACCCACCCGGCGTGGACCATCCTCTCTGACGTCAGCTTCCACGAGAGAGAGAAAATGGTCAACGCATCGGTGGGGTCAACTTCTTGACGAAGGAAAGAAGTGGGGGGGGAAAGCAAGGGGTCAGCAGCGCCGGTCAACCAGGACTGGTCTGAGATCTGTCGGGGAATTGAAGGTGGAGCTTCATGTGGTACATGGCGGCGGGGCTGCCCCGGGGGCGGCCTGTCCGCGTGAGCACCGCGCGGCCTCGGGCGAAGGCGAAGGACCCCGTGCCGCCGAGCACGCCGAGCTCCTCCCTGTCCGCCTGCCGGAGCCGCCTCCCCTCCACGCCGACGCTGCCGGAGTACTCCGGCGTGCGGAAGGTGAGGTAAACGAGGTTGAAGGCGGAGTGGGCGAAGTGCTCCGCCGGGATGATGAAGCCCTGGGCCTTGCCCACCACCCGGGACAGGTTCCCCGGGCCCTCGGTGAGCGTGTGGTGGAAGACCAGCGCCGCTCCAGCGGGCTGGGCACCGGCGGACGGCCGGCGGCCCGGCGGCGGCGGGGGCTGGACGTAGAGGGACAGAGCGATCTTCGGCCTCGGAGAGCTCCTCTGCAGTTTCCTGTGCGCAGACGGGGAGACTAGGGCCAGCAGGATGACGGCGAGGGTGGCGGCGGAGACCGCCGTGCAGAAGATGATCCTCGGAATCATAATGGCAGCCGACTTGCTTCTTCCGATGACGCCCAGTTCGGTTCCTGCATCAACGCGAGTTTTATACGGGCTCTGCTCCGCCAGAATCATATTCTACGAAGTTCTTCACCTAATCAACCGGAGGCCACCTGAACCACCACTTCCCGTGCGGTGACGATGGCGGGAGGGGAAACTGCGGGCGCCGGTGAAAAGGATGATGACCTCCTCTTTGTCTGGTCTGATCTCAATTCTGTGATTCCTCACCAGAAGTCGCGGCAGGAGCAGGCTCCTTCTAGGAAATGGTGAAACCGCGCGGAGTCCCTGACGACGATCCGCACCCCGGTGAGCTTCGCCATGAACTTGATGGCGCTGTGGCAGTCCCCGCAGATCCTCAGGTTCTTGAACACCCGGATCGAGGATTCGCCCCTCAGGTTGAGGATCCCGAAGGCAACCGCGAGCTTCTCGCTGTGGCCGCACAGGAGCTCCTCCTTCTCCTCCTCGTCCACGTCCTGCAGGGCGAAGCCGGTGTCGGGGATAAAACCCTCGAGCCGCATCCTCTCCCCGACCTCTCCAAGGAAGCCGTAGATCTCCTCGCTGCGGGGGTTCCTCTTGTCCCCCTTGACGAAGGTGAAGACTCGATTCTTTATCTGAATCCAGCTGCAGCCTGGCTCCTTCGTCATGCCTCTGTCCCTCATGATCTTCCGGATCTCTGAAGCATCGTCCCACAGCTTGGCGGCCCCGAAGATATTCGACAGCAGCACGTAATTCCCAGGATTGTCGGGCTCGATCTCGAATAGACGACGAGCGGCGGTCTTGCCCAGCTCCACGTTTTTGTACACCCTGCACCCGGCGAGCAGAGCTCCCCAGGCGCCGGCGGTGGGCTTCAATGACATCTTCTGGATGAATTCATGCGCCTCGTGGAGGAGCCCCGCGCGGCTGAGGATGTCGACCATGCAAGAATGGTGATCTGCGTCGGGGACGACCCCATGGTCGTAGAGCATGGAATCGAAGACCTTCCTCCCTTCCTCGACCAGGTTGGAGTGGCTGCAACCAGACAGAGCCGCCACGAAGGTCACAGAGTTGGGTCTCAATCCCGAGCCCACCATCTCCCGAAACAGCGCCAGAGCTTCCTCGCCATGGCCGTGCGTGGAGTTCGCCATGATCATCGTGTTCCAAGCCACGGTGTCCTTCCGAGGAATCGCAGAGAAGATTCTCCTGGAGAGCTCGAGCTCCCCGCACCTGGTGTACACCAGAACCAGGGCCGTCGAGATGACGACCTCCTCCGTGAGCCGCCGCCGGAGGCCATGGGCGTGGATCTCCCTGCCCCCCCGCAGGTTCTCCATGGCAGCGCAGGCGCGGAGGATGCTGGCGATGGTGATCCTGTTGGGCTTGAACCCCCGGTCCTGCATCTGAGCGAGAAGTCTGAGGGCCTGACCGGGTTTCCCAACCTCTGTACAACCCGCTATCATGGAGTTCCAGGAAGCCAAGGTCGGCGCGACACCGTCTTCTTCGTCCATCCTCTGAAAGAGCTCGGAGGCATCCTCGGGCTGCCCGTTCAAGAAATAGGCAGCCAGCATCACGTTCCAGGAGACGGCGTCTCTCTGGGGTATATTCTCGAACACCGTTCGTGCATGCCGAATGGCTGAACATTTCGCGTACATATCTATGAGCCCGGCGGCGACGAAGCTGTTGCCGTCGAGCCCGTTTCTCACGGCGACGCTATGGAGCTCCCTCCCCGGAGTCAGCCTCCTCAGCTCCGAGCAGATGGAGAGGACCTTGGAGAGGGTGACGGCATTAGCCTTCGTTCCAGTAGCGCCCATCGCTCGAAGAAGCTCCAACGCTTCGCCTGGGGATTCCACAAATGCGGCGATGATCGAGGTCCAGGAGATCACGTCGAGATGGGGCATGGCGTCAAAGACGCGCCTCGCCCCCTCCGGCGACCTGCACCTGCCATACATGTCGATCAAGGCGTTCCCAAGGGGGAGGTCACAGTGGAGGCCGAATCGGACTGCGTCCCTGTGAACCCTTCTGGCCATGGCGAGGTCCGAGGCTGCGCCGCAGGCCTTTGCCGCCGCGATGAGGGAAAGGCCATCAGGTCTCAGCTTGTCTTGTCGTAGGAGCCGGCCGTAGAGCTCGACGCCCTCCGCTGGGGACCCCCGCTTGGTGTAGGCGGAGATAAGGAGAGTCCAGGAGCGAAGGTCTGGTTCGGGAGTTTCGTCGAACACTGCGCGGGCGGATTCCAGCTCCCCCATGTCCAGGAAATACTTCAGGAATCCGATCTTCCCCACTCTGGTGGAGAGACCGCTGGAAGGCCTCCTGGGGAGCATGCCCACCGGAGATCTCCACCCCCTCCCCTCCCCGCCCCCCCCGAACCGTCTCCCTGAGGTGGCGCTCTGAAACAGGTTACAGAAGGATTTTCTGGAGATCCGTGGTCAGCGGAGAAATGCGAGGGGATCGTAGCCTCTTCTGATCGGAGGTGGGAGGGGATCGAGAATAATCTGATGTGTAGCGCACCAGGCGATGCCAGGAGCTCGCACGTAGTAATCAATGGTGAGGACAACAACTCCTCCGCCAGGGTGAAGGCAGGGACCCCACGGCGGCGTCTCAGGTGGGCGATGGATAGGACGGACCAGGAGAACCCATTCTCCAGTCCCTTCGACGACCGTCAATCCCCCGACGTACAGCGGAAGATCCTTGAGGAAGATATTCTAGCCTTGAGAGCTGTCTTTATCCTCTGTTCTGAGACCAAAAGGAAAGGTTCACCCAATGATCGCACCTTTCCTTCCCTCGCTCTCTGGTGTCTGTCGGCCGTCAAGTTCCTGAAGACGATTTGTAAGCTCTCGGAGTAGGGAGATCGAGGGTGGGAGGAGGAGGAAGACGACGACGAGGATATGTTCCCCCCCCCCCCACTCACATGCCGTCCTCCCCGAGCGACTGAAACCCGAAAGCAGAAGCTTGAATCCGTTGGCAAAGCCGGGCTCCCCAGCGTTGCAGAAGAAAGAGAAGGTGGGGGGGAGGGGGTGGGTCTGGATATAGCCAGTCCACCGCCATGGATCTCTACAAGAGTCAGGAACCGCACCAGCTTGGAGAATAGATTCCGACATGCTTCTCCGGGAAGTCCCCCCGCCGTGGCGTCAACAACCCTCCAGCATCCGATGCGGGGAGTATAAAAACCCTGCTCCTTGCTTCTCCGTCACAATGTTCAGCGCTGGGTTCTCTCTGCGGAGGAGAGTGGCGGCGGCGGAGCTCAGAGGATGAAGTTCGGAGAGATAACACACTCCAGTCACCCTCACCACAAGCTGCGGTACGAATACGGGGAGGTACCTTTCAAGTGCGACGGCTGCAAGGAGGTGGGGATCGGCTCCCGCTTCAAGTGCTCCCACTGCGACTACGACCTCCACCGGCACTGCGCCGCGCCGGCACAATCCTCCAGCCCCGCCTTCTACCACCCGTTCTACAGGAAGTGCGCCTTCCAGTTCCTGACCCGGCCGCCGGGGGACGCGCAGCGCTACTGCAACGCCTGCCAGAAGGACGTCAACGGGTTCGTCTACCACTGCTTCAAATGCGGCTTCGACCTCCACCCCTGCTGCGCCAACCTGCCCCACGCCATCGACGCCGGCGGCGGCCTCTCCCTCTACCTCTACCGCAAGGTTGGCGCCCCCTGCCACCGCTGCGGGCGCAAGGGCCGCAGCTGGAGCTACCGCTCCACCTGCAAGAACTACAACCTCCACGTCGCCTGCGCCATGGAGATGCTAGTGGATAGCTGGCAAGAGGTCTACTCCGGCGTCGGCGGCCGGGCGGACGCTCCGCGAAAGGCCGGCCGTGAAGGCGCCGCCACCGTGGACAGGATCCCCCTCATCAGGGGGACGGCGCAGAACCGGCACCGGCGCAAGGGGAAGGTGAAGCGATGCTGCGAGCTGGCCGGCACGGCGGTGCAGTTCATCATCTCCGCTGTCCTCGGGGACCCCACCGTCATCATCGCCGGCGTCGTCGGCTCCTTCATTTCCAAATGAGACGCTATCCCGTCGCCGTCGCCGGCGGTCCCCCGACCGGCCTCTATATTTCCCCAGAAAATCTCCAAATCGCCCAAAAACCCAACACTCCAAATAAAAGCATAAAGCCAGACAGACAGACGTCCGACGGCATCTCCACATTTTCCGTTAAAAGTAACGGCTGGGAAAATCGTAGTACACCTGTCCGTGTCGGCGGCGGGATCTGGAAGTTGGTTCCGCTCTGCTGACCACGAAACGGCGGCGGTAGATGTGGATGTGGATGTGCGTGCGCGGGCATTATGGTACTTTAGGAACCGTGTGGGCCCCAGATTGGAGGGGAGGCGCCATCGATGGATGGAGGCCGGCCATGGCGGACAGCCGGAAAAATCCGAGTTCCCAAAGTCCACCGACCCACGAATGATAGAGCGGACGACTGAGTGGTCGCCGAAACCCTAAAGAGGAGGAGGAGGACCCCTCGCCACCGCGCCGCCGCCGACTCGCCGCCTGGTGCTGGCGGCGCTGCCCTCCCTCCGCCGCCGGGAGGGGAACTTGGTGGCCTGGTATATATGCACAGATAAGAGAGATAGATCGATAGATAGATAGAGAGAGAGAGAGAGAGAGAGAGAGAGAGAGAGAGGGTGGCGGAGGAGTGGAGCCGTGTGAGGATGGGGGCGCCTGCAGGTGCGATGCCGCCGTGGTTCGAGCGCTTCCTGAGGGCGGTGTTCTACGTGCCCTGCCCCGTCCACCGGGACAACCGGAAGTGGTGCAACCTCTACTGCACCGACTGCATGACGCCGGTCTGCTCCGACTGCCGCGACGACGGCGGCAGCCACTGCCGGCGGCACAACCACCTGATACTCCAGGTCAGTCTCGCGACCCCCGCCCGCCGGAGGAACAGGAACAGGCACAGGAACAGGAATTAGTGACAGGAATCCTCTCCGATGGGCCCGGAGGGCTAACCCCCCGCCGGGATTCTGTGCGCAGGTGGTCCGATCGTCATACCAGGCGGCGGTGCAGATCGACGGGACGAACGGGATCGGGAAATTGTTCGGCGGCGACGACGACGACATCCAGGTCTACCGGGCCAACCGCGTCAGGATCTACTACCTCCACAGCAGGGGGCCGAGCAAGGCGGACGCCGGTAGGGCCAGCCCCTATCTCTGCCGCGCCTGCAGCTGGCCTCTGCTCGACGCCGACAAGCGCTTCTGCTCCATCAGCTGCAAAGTGAGTTGCAGAAATCCCAAAACTCTCTCCCTTCCTTCTCGCTGGCGAGCTTCCGGCTGGATCTCCGAATGGCTTCCATAATAAATTTAGCTGGAATGGGGGGAATGCAGCTCATGCCGGAGGAGGAACCCCGCCGGCGGCTCCACCACTGCCGCGATCCTTCGTATCCAGTGCCCCTCGGCGGCGGCGGCGGCTTCGACGGTGACGAGGGCCCAGTAGGGGGAGAGCTCGGCGGGGGCGGCGGCGGCTCGCTCTCCAACGCAGCCTCCTACGAGCAGGGGAAGGGGGACAAGCGGAAGGCGAAGTGCCCGAGGAGATCGCCAATGTTCTGACCTCCTCTCTCACCCATCTCCTGTGCATACCGAGGTCGGCGACACAGAAATCCATAAATGAATGGCGGACGGGAAAGAGACAGCTACAGAAGGAGATCTCCACCGCACACCAAACCACTTCCTTCCTATTTTTCTGAAAAAGCTTGCAGAGATCACTCACACATTCTCGCTGCTCCCCCGGCGATCTTCCCCATTCTTTGATTCTGCAGCGCCTGTACGATATCGTCAGCGTCCATCTCAGTAGGGACGAGCAATTTTGGATTTTTTTTCCCCGATTTGATTTCCCCCCTCCCCACAGGTTGACCTCCTCGGCGACTTCCTCCTCCCCGGGGGTTGACGACCACCGAGCAGCTCTCTCTTCTCCTTCCGATGCTCTCCCGCTCGAGCTCGGGATCGCCATTTTAGGTCAATTGAGTCGCAGAGGAGGCGAGGACCGTGAGATCTGGGAATGATGATGGAGAGTCAGAGGCACTGCGTCACGTGGGTTGGGCTCTATCCGGGCTGGGGCCCAGTTCATCTGGATGGAGCCGGTGGCATGTATGCCTAGTGTTAAATGGGCTGATTTCTTTGGAACCTAAAACGAGACCATTATTCAGAATTGGGCCTGTAGATTGAGCCTTGGGCCTCGAGGGTATCTAACAGGGTTTGTTTTTTTCCGGCCCCGTGTCTAGCTCCTCCTCGCCCTGATCTTCGTTCTCCAATGGGGATTTACTTTTATGAAAGATTTATGCAGTGAATAGACTATAAACTAATTGTTGAAATAATTGGGCTCGGCCCAATTACACGTCAAATTAATTGGGTAAAGCTTATTTAGGAGTTAGTTAGAGGGTAATTTTGTCCTTGGGGGTTGGGTATAAATCCCTCTGGATTATTTTATTAAATGTGTGCAATATTATTTCATTCTCTTTTTTCTCTCCTCTCTCTATATGTGAGAAAATACATATATTATTTTTAATATATTGTTGGTCAAAGATTTAAACTTTGGTTAGAATGATGAAACTGAAGTCAATTTTGCAGCCAAAGTATTGAAGTATTGTCGCAAACCTTATCGATTATTTTGACAAAAGGAGTTGAAGTCAACATGTATCGTTATATGATTAAGTTAAAATGATACAAGGACAAATACATAAGCTATACACTCCCATAAGAAGAATATTTCTCATTTTTACAAAGTATGAAAAAAGGGTTGCTTGAATGTTTATGGAATGAACATGATCTTTATGTGCCTATCACATCTGACATTGTTGAAATGACTAAGCAAAAATACGTCATTTGATCAGTGTAATTTTTATCTGCTTTAGGCCAAGAATATGAAGTAGTGAGAGGGATCAAATGATGACTTTAAAAGAGATCCCAACTCCAATATTAATATATTCATATCTTGCATGATTTGAACCTTCTAGCTCTATCTCACAGTTAAGAGTCTTCTATTATGATGATAATGAGAGGTTAAGGTAAGGGGAGCTTCTCAAATAGATCAAGAAGAAGACACCTCACTACTCTCAGTAATAGTCATAGATAAAATAAATTTTTTTTTAATATTGTTATAACAAAATCAAATTGTGAGTTAATGTTGGGCTACACAAAGGTATCTTAGTAGACAGTCAACACCACAAGCTAATAAGATATCTATTAATATGGAGGAGTCAATAAAAGTTACTATTTTCAAATTATAATATAATATGTTTTGTTGATATAATCAAGAAAAAGAACAATCGACCTTATCCACTGTTGCATCAATGATTGACCAAACAAACTCATACTTTGTCTAGAAATTTGTGTAATTGAATTACAAATTATGCCACCTTCTATTATGTCACTCACAATGACTCTTATATTAGAACTTTTATCAAAACCACTTTATCCTTGTCAAAACCAATTTATGTGTGTTGTAGACAAATATTTTCTCTTGTGACTAGTCTTGGTCATGTTTTCCTTTCTATTTCTTTAACCTTTTCAAATGTCATGCATGCACCCCAATTTGTTTTAATTTTTTTCTTCATTAGTCAACTCAACAAATCCCTTAAATGTCATCTTCTATGATATTGTCTTTGTGTTCAAAGATATTTAGATAATGTATATTTATGGTAGATTTGCGCATGATAAACATTATTTACTAAGTCTTCCATCCATGTACTTGATAAATCTCAGATTTCTCTTCTTCAACTATATCACTAATTGGGTTTTCTTACAATAACGATGGTTTGACTGTAGTTTTCAAATCTTTCATTTTATGTTATTTTAAATTGTGAAGCATGTCAATTGATAAAGATTATCTTTCTTCATTTTCTTCAGGACATATTAGTTGAGAACAATTTATTTTTTATGTACTTCATGTTGATCTACATGACCTTAGTCAAGTTCTTAGTCTACTCAACTTGTGTTATTTCCTTGTAATTGCTAATGACTATACTTGAGTCACTTGAGTCTATATATTTAAAGAAAAATCCAAAACTTCTCATATTAATAAAAAACATTAAATAAATAGAAACTCAATATTCTACTAATATTAAAATATTTTATAGTGATAATGACATTGAATTTGTTACTAGTACAATGGCTAAATTTTTTTCTTCATTAGATGTAATCCACCAAACAACATTTGTTTAAACATTCCAAGAAAATAAAGTGACAGAATGTAAGTTATGTCAATTATAAGAGTGATATATACCCTTATGTTTCAAATGAATCAACTAAACTGCATGTGTTCTTATAATATCTTAGATCATCAATTGTGTCTCATCATCTTATTTTTATAGGTAAAATTTCATAGTCTTCTTTATGTCAAGGTAATAAATATTTCATTTACCTCATCATGTCTTTGGTTGTGTTTGTTTTCTTCACCTCTTTCACTTTAATAAATTTGTTCATCATGCTATCAAATGTGTCTTTCTAGATTACTCAAAAACTCATAAATGATATTAATACTTTGACTCATCCACATGACAATCATAAATTAGTGCATATGTTACTTTCTTTGATGATCAGTCATTTTTCATGAAATCTAGTTCTTACAATATTTCTTTCATTCCTCTCTCTTACATATGTCCTTTGCACCTCCTTCTACACCTTTACCATTCAATCAAAATCAAACTATCTCCATTGGCTCTTACCCATTGGATGATATTGAATTATTGGATGACCATTGAATCATCATCTTCTTCTAATAGAGATCATTCCTAGATCCTTACCTTGTATCTATCTTTTGATAGTTTTTCTTTTTATTAACAGTCATCAATTCCCCATACTCATATTGAGACATTACAATATCTTTCTTGGAAGGCTACTATGGAAGAAGAGATGTCTACTCCAAGGTACTTTCTTGATGGCTCTATAGATTAATATGAGGCTCAATTAGTAGCCAAAGGTTATATTTAGACATCTAGTGTTTATTACTCTACGACATTTTTTCTAGTAACTCATTTTAATTTAGTTTGCATATATTACAGTTAATTATAGATGATTATTATTTCATCTTGATAATAAAAAATATAGTTTGACAATCTCAATAAAGAGGTTTATGTGGAGTATCCATTAGGGCTTCTTACTTAAGAGAAAAAAGTTTACAAACTTTGAATGGTCATATATGAGTTAGTCCTTGAACTTAGCTTGACAGATTCAAAGGAACAGTCAAATAGTTTGGTTTCACTCAATCTTCCTTTTATCACTCAATTTTTACTTTACATTTACCTACTGAGTCTATTCCTTTGATTATTTATGTTGATGATATTCTTCTTAATTGTAGTCACTCATATAATATAATTAAAGAGTTCTTACACTCTCAATTTGTTTCAAAAGACCTTAGTCTTATACGATACATTCTTGGCTTTAAAGTTAATCCTATTATAGATGATCTTATTCTATCCCAGCACAAGTATGTATTATATTTTCTACATGATGTCATCATGCTTGATTGCAAACTAGTTGTTGTGCCTATAAATGCCCATCTGTCTCTCAATGATAATGATAGTCAATTACTTCATGATATAATGATATATCATGCTCTTATTATAAAACTTTTAAATCTAGCGATTACATGACATGGCATTGTCTTTGTCATTGGCCGCCTGAACGAATTTATGCATCAACCTCATAAAGTTCACTGATTGCATTGTGTCAAATACTTCAATTTCTGATGTCATCTCGTGACAATAGACTCTACTTAAAGAATAATTATATTTTTTTAATATCATAAAATATTTTGATACTAATTACATTGATTCTAATAAAGATTGACACTCTACTACTAGATTTTGTACATTTGAAGGGGGCAATTTTGTCACGTGCCATAGTAAAAACTAAAGTGTTGTCTCTTGTTCTAGGGATGCATTTTAATATAGAGTTGTGCCACATATTGTTTGTGAGATTTTCTAAGTCATATTCATTCTATGAGATTTTGATATTCCTATCACTTTGCTCATACTTATGTACTATGACAACAAAGGTGATACCTTTATTGTAAATAACTTAGTTTTTTATGAGCATGCTAAGTATATTGAAGTTGATTGTGATTTCATTTGAAATGTTGTATTAACAGAAAAAATCTCTACTCCACATATCTCTATAGAGGATCAACTAATAGATATCTTCACCAAAGTTCTTCCTCATCAACAACTACTTGACATTTGCTCCAAATTGAGTATGTGACACCTCTACGCTCTAGCTTTCAAAGGAGTGTTGAAGTAATTGGGTTTGGCTCAATTACATATATTTGGTTAATTAGGCCTTTGCCTATTTAGGAGTGAGTAGAATTTTTTCACTATGGTTTAAGTAGAAATCCTTGCGGATTATATTGTTGAATGTGTGTTGTATTATTCTATTCTCTTTTTTCTCTCTCTCTCTCTTCTCTCTTATCTATTATCTCTTCTCTTAGACACTAACGTCATTATATTTGACAAAAATAAAAAGTAAAACACTTTATTATAGTTTATTAACCAAAGATAACGAACTTGGGCTCGACCCCTATCGATTAATTACACATATTCTTAAATAACAATTAATTAATTAATTAAATGTTTTATTGAATCAGATAATTGATAGAAATGATGCGCAACATTTTTTAAAAAATCGGTCTGAGCTTCTTCACGGGGATAACATTGCCTGCTCCCGTCTCATTGTCGGGCCGCGATGTTTCTACAACCCAGGGCGGGCGGGTCAACGCCCACTGCCCCTCGCCGGCGCTGCCCCCCGGTCTCCCCTCTTCTTCCTCTATTTTACGCCGAGGGTCGCCCTAGATCGGGGACACAGCCAGCTGCCTGCTCCGGAGGGAGAGCAGCGGCCGCGTTTCTCTCTCGTCTGGTTATTATAATGCACCCGCGGGGGCAGCCATTGGCGGACCTCGCCGCCCCCTCGTGGCATCTCCTGCATGAGGAAAACGACCACAGCAGAGGGAAGGAATCTCGTGGGCCATGGATGTCTCTCTCGTCCCTCCCCCTCCCCTCCAAAGCTGCCCCCTCTCTGGGATTTTTCTTTTGTCTCCCTGTCCTCCGCCGCCGCCTCCTGCTCCGGCGATTTATTTCATATCAGAGAGGGTGGAGACTGGGGGGTGGGGGGTAGGGGACCGAGGTTATCGTGGCGGTGCTGCGGCCACCGGACAGGCCCGAATTATAAATAATAATAAGCCGGCGGCGTGCCGGCGCCAGAGCCACAGGACTCCTCCGCCGGATTCCCTCCGGTGACGGGCCTCAGTCGGCGCCAGAATCGTCTTCCTCCCGCCCTGCCAGACAACCTGTCCGCACCAACCCCCAGCCTGGCATTGCCATCTCGAAGAGGGGACATATCCCGATGCGCTACCAGATCCCTCTCTCTCTCTCTCTCTCTCTCTCTCTCTCTCTCTATAAAGAGCTGTCCTTTCCTCCCTTCTCGTGCTCGCTGGTCCTATTGCACTCGAAGAGGGAGATCTCAAAGAGCAGGTTTCTCGGGGAGGATGGGCGCTTGCGGGTCCTGCCAGGCGGCGTCGGAAGCCGCTGCGAGCACGAAGGTGATAATGGAGGACGGGGAGCTCAAGGAATTCGTCGGCCCCGCCAGGGCCGGTCTGGTTCTCGGCAAGGCGGCGGGGTACTTCGTCTGCAACAGCGATGACATGGAGTTCGACGACTATGTGACGGCGGTGGGCGCCGACGAGGAGCTGCGGCCGGGGCAGCTGTACTTCGTCCTGCCGCGCTCCATGCTGAAGCGGCGGCTCCAGCCGGAGGAGCTGGCCGCCCTCGCCGTCAAGGCGAGCTCCGCTCTGGTGCGGGGCGGCGCCGCCGGATTCTGCGAAAGGAAGGCCAGCGGCGAGGAGTACGGTCGGAGAGTGGTGCCCGTGGGGGGCTTCTCGGTCGCCGGAACGGGAGCCCGGACAAAGCGGCGGCCGAAGAACGGCCGTCCCGGCGGCCGCCAGTTCTGCTCCAAGTTGACAGCCATTCCAGAGTAGGTAGAAGAAGCCCAGATAGAACCAGACAAAACCGGCGATATGCTGCTCCCCATTGGCTATGGTTAGCCGCAGGACGCCCATCGAGGAAGGGAAATCCTCGTCGCACGCCCACAAAGCGAACAACGCAAGAAAAGCGATCAATCGAGGTAGGACATGGAAAGATTCCAGGGGGGGCAGTTTAACTTACATTGTCCCGCGATGCTTCTGTCATCTTGTCAACATCATAGCATTTCTCAACAGACAACATTTCAGAGAAGGGGCGCATCATTCATTGTTCTTGCGTTCTAGAGAGAGAAAGAGGGGGCGGCTGCTCCCTTACATTCACATGTGCGGAAAATGGGAATGCTTGGTAATTATTAACCCATACAGAAATCAAGGTGTAATATTTATCGAAACTAGACGTATAGTGTGGGTTGAGAATCCTGAGTTGACTTTTTGTTCTCATCAATCCGTGCGCCTGCCACAAAAAGCGTTGACTAAGGGCTATGCGTCTTCTTACAAAAGGGGTACGATATTTCCTATTATTTTCCCCATTGAATGATAAACGGGGCTATATAGATCGTCTCAGTCAACTAGTCATCGTCATCATCCAAATTTGGGGAGAAGTATGGGATTGACCCACAACAGTTGCCGTCATGATCGAGCGCCATTTTCACCTTGGAACAAGACTAGATAGACTCTTTCTTGGAGGGACTCGTTGATCTCTCCCGTTGCATCACCGCCAACGACAAAGGTCGTCTCTCTCTCTCTCTCTCTCTCATGTCCTTCAACATCGGAAGTAGGAAAATTCCCTGTCTAAAGCACGGGGCCGAAGAGAGGGCACGGATATGGGCAAATCGCTGACGACAACGTCGGATAATGGCGTTAATCCGACAGCCGCAGGGGAGGAGCCCACGCAAACGAGGTTCACCATCGTCTGGTTTGAATCCAGCAAATAATGGTGGACCTACCTACCTACTTCACCATTCCATTTGCTCGTTGTGATGTTGGAACCCGCCGGCTCTTTCTCCCCGGCCGTCTCGCGGAGTCCTACCGTCTCCCCTCGGCGGCATGGGAACCTGCGGGTCGTCAGAAGCGGCGAGGGGTCGCGGCACAGCGGCGGAGTCAGGTGACACAGCGAAGGTGGTGCATGCGGGCGACGGCAGGGCGTGGGAGTACGCAGGGGGGACGTCGACGGCGGCGGGCGTGGAGGCCAAGAACCCCGGATACTACCTCTGCAGCGGCGAGGCCATGCGCGTGGGGGAGATTCCGGCGAGAGTGGCGGACGCCGCCGAGCTCCAGTCGGGGCAGGTCTACTTCCTCCTCCCCCTCGCCTCCTTGCGAAGGCCACTCTCCCTCCCCGACCTCTGCCAACTCGCCGGCATGGCCGCCACCGCCTTCCGCCGCCTTCCTCGACATGCTACCACCCCGCCGCCGCCGAAACCGGCGAAGTCTCTCCTTCTCCGCGCCGTGCTCGGAGGAGCCGGGTGGCGGTGGGTTTGAGGTGGGTTAGGTGGCTTGGGGACAGGTCTTCTAATCCCTCCACCACACGGCGACCCCGTTGACCGATTACTTCCTAAAAGTACGCCAGAGTTAATGCTGTTCTGCATATGATTATCGCTGCGCGTCCTCGTCATCTCGTCAATCCCTGGTCACCCAAGACCGACGGGGAATGGATATAAAAATGGGACCTTGGCATGTCCCAACTGGGGATGGCGACGGATGGGGGTTTAGTCAACGATTGGCGATTATTTCCCCATATTTTACTCATTTTTGAATTTTATAAAAAAATTCAGTCTCTACCGATGGATAATCCGCGGAAATATGTGTCATCATATTCCCGTTCTTCCCCTTTTTTTAATTTTTATGTAGCGGTCTGAATACGGTCAACGATTCTGATCGACGAGCGGATGTTTTCTAGCAAAGTGGACAGTTTTTCGTCCCAATTCGGATAAAAAGTTCTTGACTAGATTCGAGTAGAGTCTACAATTTTTGATTGACTTGACATTGCTGTCCAATATCTCGATCGCCCAATCAGAATTGAGCTCTGATGATCCGAACTATTTGACTTCCGTAAAATCGTTTGATATTCTAGCCTTGGACGAGCTCCTGGTCTCTTCCCAGTTGACACCTCGAGTAGGGCGCGTGGCAGCCTGCCTCGGCATCGGCGATAGAGTAGAGGAGAGAGAGAGAGAGAGAGAGAGGGAGGTTGTCTCTCCTCCCCGCAGAGGCCGGCGCCGGCGCCGGCGCCGGCGGAGGGGATCCAACCACGATAGTTTCGTCAATCAGACACCTCGGGAGACCATGAGAGTGGAGAGAGATGGGTCTTCATAAGCTACGACTTATTGGACGGAGGGAAGATGACATCCGTAAGAGAGTAAGTATCATCGTATGTGCAGTCCTCCCCCACGGAGAGGGAGGAGCGACGATAGGGAAGGAAGGAAGGAAGTCTACGGAGCAGGTTGAGCCGTCATCTCCTTCTTGATGGCCGCCACCAGCTGGTCGAAGGCGACTCGCCATGCGTCCTTCATCTCCGGGCACCACATCTCCGGGACGGCCTCCTTTATCGTCTCCAGCAGCGCAAACCTGGTCACCTGAGATGACCACCACGCCGGAAAGTTAGAACTTGAGAAGGGAGATCGCCGTCGGCGGAAGAAGATCCTCGTCCCCCCCTCACCTCGAAGTGTTCGTCGACGACGCCGTACTTGGCGTGGACCGCGCCCAGCTTCTTCAGGGTAGTGTCCCTCACAGTCACCCTGCCGGACTTGCGCAGCTGGGCCGCCGACTCGCAGGTCTTCGCGGAGCAAGGACAAGAAGAGGGTTATATTCCGGCGAGGCTTATTGTGGAGAGGACGGTGGCGGGTGGCTCACCATGACGAACACCGACATGGCGTGGGGCTTGAGCTTCGGGTTCTTCTCCAAGGGGACGTCGGAGCCGCGGAGGAAGGAGAAGAGCTTACTCGCCGACGGCGCGATGTCGAAGATTCTGCAGACACGAAAGAAGAAGTGAGCCGGGACCGAGACACCACGCAACTCCGTTGGAGATCTAACGAGACGACGGCGACCTTAGGAAGAACTTGAGCCCCAGCTCCCCAGCGTTCTTCTTCATCACATTCCATGACTTCACCACCAGGGCCTCCTGCTCCGCCGTGAAATCCACTGCCTCCGTCGCCATCTCTGCCGATTCTCCGCTTTCTCCTGTGGTCTCCCCTCCGCCGGAGATCGCGGGTTAAATAGCCATGGTGAGGAGAGGCCGCCACACGCCCCCTCGGCCTCGTGGGAGATCAGGGCGGCCCTTGGCGGTGCGAAGAGCCGAGTTCCCCCCACCCCCTCTCCATCACCAGCCACCTCAACCAAAAACCAGGGGCTCCCACAAGTCCTCCCCCTGTATCCTCTCGCCGACGGCATAAGGCTAGTCTCATCACCCACGTCAGATCATCCAAATGGACGGTCCAGATAAGAGCGCCCATACGTATATTACTCCGTAGGCGGCGTCTTTTATTTAATAATATAAACCCGCGATAAGCCTAACCGCGTCACAGCCCGGCAGATCGAGAGAAGGATATAAATGCAAAATAATGAAGTGTAAAGATAATAAGTATCTGTAATCGGTCTCCAAGAATAAACTCGTCATAAAAAATGGATTTTATCTTAATATACCCTGTGGAAAAACAGATCAGCAGTCTTCTATTCCGTTCTAGACGCGGGGACCTGCCGCCGCAACCGCCGGCGGCCGCGGAAGTGGAGGGCGACTGGGCCTCGCTGTTGGGCGACGATCGGAATTACCCTGAAAATCGCGTCTTTCTCTGGTTTCCGCCGCATTCCTCGCCGGGAAGTTGCTGATCTGTTGGAGGTACTTCTCGTGGAGCACTCCTGCTCCTCTCTCTCTCTCTCTCTCTCTCTCTCTAGAGCTCCATCGCTATTTATTTCAGCATGGATCTAGGCGTGAGCGGGGTGTCGCCATGTCTTCTGGTACAGGTGGTAGCCTCAACTCCGGCGTCGGAGCAGACGGCGGCGGCGGGCACAGGAGTGCGTGCCTGACGGGCCTCCTCCGTCCCGTCGTGGAGCACCTACTGCTGCCATGCTGGGCACTCAGGCTGCCGGCTCTCTCTTTCCTCTCCCCTTCACCCCTCGGCAGCCAGCATCACGGGGGCGGCGCCGCCGCCGTCACGGGCACCGTCATCTGCCACGAGAATAAGAAGGTGAGGCTCTGTCTTCAGCTCGACCCATCGGCACCTCCTCACCTCTTCGTCGAGCTCCCCCTCATCGCCACCGAATTCGCTGCTGGCATCCGCGACGGCGGGTGGCGCATCTCCCTCGAGTGCCTGAGTTTAGACGACGTGACGGCGGCGAAGCCGCTTTTGGAGGCGACGGAAGTGTGGAAAGTTTCCCTCAACGGGATGAAGGCCGGGCTTGCGACTCGCCCGCAGATGACGGAGAGGGAGGCTCGGCTTCTGGAGGTTACGAGGACGGTCTCCACGGGCGCTGGGATCCTTCCCCCCGATATAGCGGCGGCGGCGCCTGCGTCGCCGTCGCAGTCGCCGGAGGGGACAGGCGGGTGCAAGTACCTGCGGGGGAGCTTCGATAGGGTGGTGGGATCGCCCGACTCTGAGTCGTACTACCTGGTGGACCCAGACGGCGACCTGAGTCATGTGCTCAGCTTCTTCTTTTACCGGTGGCGGCGGTAGCCAGTTCCCACCGACATCGTCGTCTCCTCCGAGAAATCTCACCCTCATCTAGTTCTCTCGCGAATGAATAACTAATTCCGTTGTTTAATCCATAAATAATCGATCCCCGCGCTGACTTGCAAACACAGGTCAACCACCTTCTCTTTCTCTCTCTCTCTCTCTCTTGGAAAACAATTTTTTTTCTGGGTCAGTCACGATTCACCGAAATCTCGACGAATAACATCGAAATCTTCCCTTCCATCCTCATCTCTCTGTACAGTGTTGCTCCATCATCATCAGCCCTAGCTGTATATAATATATACAGACGTCACTTGAGATCGGAGTTAGCGAGGTCTCTGGAGAGCAGGTAGCGGAAGGCCAGGCCGTGGGGAACCCACTCAACCACCTTCTGGGACCTCCCCTGCTGGCACCGCCGCATGGCCATCTGTATCGTCTGCGGGAGGTAGCGCTGGATCATGCTCAGCAGGCCCGCCGGGCTCAGGCCGGCGTCCTTGGCGAAGGCCTCCACGACCTTGGGGAGTAGGATCTTCTGCTCCCGGCGAATGCTCACCGCCGCCCGTATGTACTCCTCCCTCGCCTTCTCAAGCTCCGGCAGCAGCCTCTTCGGCGAGTACACCCGCACCTGCAGAGAGACTCCACCGATCAGCATCAGCCATGACCGACCAAGACGATCCTCCGTCCAGAGAGAGAGAGAGAGAGAGAGAGAGAGAGAGAAGCAGCGGAGCAGGTACCGCCGGGTCGGAGTGGCTCCCTGAGCAGAGCGCGAAATGGAGGAGGGGCTCCGGGTGATCGATGGCGTACGCCTGCCAGTCGTCAGCCTTCTTCACCTTCAGTCCCGGGGAGAGGAAGGCCCGCAGCCACTGCAGAGACGGAGGAACATGAAGCTTCAGTGAGCCATGGCGGAGGAAGCGGGAGGGGATCTCTTTTGGGCAGGGGAGGACCTGCGCGGGGCGATGGGTCCGGCATCCGAGGATCGAATTCTGGATGGCGTCGGCGGTGACGATCCGGCCTCCAACGTTGCATGCGGCCTGGGGAAGAGGACGATGATCCAAGAGGGTCAGAACAATGAATCCCGCCAAGGATTTTTCGTCTGCGAGATTAATCGGCGTCGGCTGGCTTCCCAACCTTAAGGAGCAGACCCAGCCGCTTCAGATTGTTCTGGGGGACCCCGTGGGTCAGATATGCCTGCAATAATTCCGCAGATATGTGAGGAAGATGGCGGCGGCGGCGGACCAAGAACATCGCGAGTCTGGAGGGAAGAACAGCGCGAGTCTCACATGCATCACCGAGGCGTTGTGGATGTTGATCCAGAAGGCGACCTTCTCCTCGTGCTTCATCTTCCTCGGGTCGACAGACTCCAACCGAAGAGCGAGCGATCTGAAGCACAGGAGCCGCAGAAACAGTTTAGAGAGAGAGAGAGAGAGAGAGAGAGAGAGAGAGAGAGAGAGAGAGAGAGAGAGAGAGAGAGGTCACTTGTATCTGTGGAGCATGTCCTCGACGTCGACGAGGCGATCGGCGCTGAGACAGAAGGCGGGGACCTCCACCATGACATTGTAGGGGCCGCTGAACTCCTTGAGGCCTTCGACTCGGAAGGGGTTCTCGAGCCAGGCGTCCAAGGAGGGGTCCTTGCGGCGGCCGGGGCTCCATGGGTCGCCCTGGTACTGAGGAGAGAAGGGGCACATCGAGGAGAAGGACGACGAGGCGGGGGAGGAGAGGCCGGGGGGGCAAACCAGCGGCGTCTCCGCCAGCTTGCAGTAGATGGAGCCCACGCACTTCACCAGGTCCTCGGAGAGCTTGTTGGGCGTCTCCGGCAGGTGGTCCGCGATGCTCGTGCCGAGGTACTCCGCCAGGCTGATCACCTCCGGCGCGCCGCCGGCCTCCTTCTGTGTAGCAAACCGCCGCCGGCGAATCAGAACCAGACGACGAAGAACCCAGCAAGAAGAAGAAGAAGAAGATGGTTTGCCGGAGGCAATTGCGTACGTCGAGGGAAGACAGAGGCTGAGAGTGGCACTCCCGCAGGGCCCTCGCGAGGTTCTCCGCCTGCGGCGACCCTCTACCGGAGCAGATGGAGCGCTGGGACAGCGCCGAGTGGCTCCGGTGGGCGCCGGGTCCCGTCAGCTTCCTCGGGCAACCGGAGAAGGGCCCTTCGCGGCCGGAATCCCCGGCCTGCTTCCATGGCGGCGGAGCAGGGGCGGCGGCCCTGTCCGACGAATTCCCCTGCTCCGGGGGATTCTCCGATCCAGCGGCTCCATGGGGAGCAACGACAGACTGTGAGGCATCCGCCGGTGGCTCGGACCTCTCCCCAACCCTAGAGGGAGACAGCGAGGAAGCTTGATCCCCGAACGCCTTCCGGTAGAGGGACAGCAGGTACTGCTCCAGGTACCTCACCTCCACCTCCAACACCGCGATCTCCCTTATCAGCTCCTTCGTCGGCTGAAACCAGAGAGGTAAAAGATAGATCATCAGCGTCTGGATGCATCAGAAGCTCAGCATCCACTCAGGAAGATGGGTTTCAGATGGGGGACCTTCGGCATCAGATTATCGCCGGAAGCATCCACCGTTGAAGATCTGTAGCCCAGGGCTTTCTCCAGGGCGTGACGCAGGGAAAATTGGCCCTGCAGCCGTTTCTCGAGCTGTAAGATCTGCGCAGAGACAGCGAGAGCGAGAGAGAGAGAGAGGAAGAACCCGGAATCAATGACGGATTGCGCGATCACCAAATCTATTCGTCTGGGAGGCCATGCGTTGGATCTCCCAGTCCATTCGAAAGCTTCCGCGAGGGAAACTATACTCTCTAGGATCGTAATCCCCCTTGCTCGCCTTCCCTTCTAGGGTAGAAGATGATATGCTTCATCATCAGTCAGTCGCGAAGAACATACTGGTGATCGTAGAGAAACATATTTCACGGATTCCATGTAGATTCCATGTAGATTCCATGTATGAACCTCGATGAAACCCTGGTCTGAGATGAAAGCTGCCCCGTTGGGGTCATAAACCCTAGACTACTAGCCATTCAGTAGGGAAGAAGCTCAGCTACGCACCTCCTGCTGTAAGTTGCTTTGGACCTCGGCGTCGGGTAATGGCCCCCCCTCGGCGCCTGATTCATCCTTTGCTGGCTCGATGTGCTTCAATTTTTTTTATAAAAAAAATAAAAATCAGATCAGACACTGCCGGTGTTCGAGCTATTTCCGACGAACGGGAGCAAGGGCTCTGATCTTCTTCAACCGAAGAAGGGAAGTTGAACACGGGGGCTTACGATCTTCACATGGGGAGAAGCTCCGCGGGGGAGATCCGGATCGTCTCCGTTGAGCCTCCTGTCGGAATCGCTGAGCTCCCAGAAAGCAGGAACCGAGATTAGAACAAGAGAAAAGGGTGGGAGGAATCCACAAGAACGTGAAGATGTTACTACTGCATCTCCCGATTTCTCTCGGCACAGATCGCAGCATCTGCAGAGGAAGTTACAGAGGGGAGGAGGAGGAGGACCTCGGGAAGGGAAGACTGAGCAGGTACCTCTTGCAGCGTTTATGGCGGGAAAAGATGGCCTTCCTGGAGCCTAGGGTCTTGAGAGAAGAATGCAGGGACTGAAACTGGGGGAGATGGCTCACATCGAACCCCATTCTCCGGCGAGACGCAGGATCCCGGCTTGCTTCCTGCCTGAGAAGCCCTCAGACCAGAGCAGCGCAACAGGGAAGGGTAGGCATATTCCGCTGCCGAAAGCTTCTCCAGAGGGGGACAAAACGCCGACCAGGAGGGCTCGGAGGCGACGGCGAACCCGCTGAGGGCCGCCCGACGACAACAATGCCCGGCGAGAAGATGGGGCCAGGGAAGAGAAACCCACCGCCAGAGAAGACGCTCCCGGTGGCCCTCTGGTTCCCGTCAACGTCGCCTTTTCCAGAGCGCCGCCGCGCCCCACCGTGCCATGACAGGCCGCCTCCCCACCACCGGAGCCGCCATCATTCGCTGCGACCACAAGCTATGGAGATAGAAGAAAGGTTCTCCGACTCATATTTATACACCCGAATCCCCTCCCCTGGAGACCTGGGGAGACGATAAAAATGGTGGCAGGAAGGGACTGTGAGGACAAGACGATCTCCGGTGACTGCCCATTTTAATAATGAGGGAGTTTGGTGGAGCGACTTTCCGCTCACCCTCTCCCCGAGGAAACGAACGTCTCATCTTCTCCACGTCCGGCGCCGGTCGCCGGAGCTCTACATCAATCATTCTGCCCAGTTGACAGGCCGTTCAGATGTCAATGTTCTCTTTGAGCAACTTGCAGAGTTTAGGTGAGGGTCAACTCGCATAGTTTAGGCCTCCGCAGGCGCCGGCGACCTCGGAGGGTGGTTCCCGGCGATGCCTGGCGACCGGAGGCCGTGTCTGTCCATCGTCGGATGAGCTGCCACTCCGCCGGGGGTGGGGGTGGGGTGGGGGGAGGATTAAGCAAAAAAGACAAGGGGATCTTTGTCCGGAGAATGTTGAGAGCTTTGAGAGGGGGTTAAAGCTGGGGAAAGAAGAAACCCTCAAAAGGGACGAAAGCGGGGGATAAGGGGCGGCTGCGCTCCGAGGAGGGTTTCTGCTCGCCGATATGCCGGAGGGGGTGCTCGCCGGAGGTACGCCGGTTGTCCTCCTCCGCCGGAGAACTACCGTTTGTCAGAGATTCCCCACTAAAGTAATCGCCATGGAAGTCGCCTTCCCACACCAGAACAGAGATTTGATATTAGTTATTCTACAACGGAAGAAATCGGGAAGAACCCATCATCTCTCCTCTCTCTCTGTCTCTCTCTGTCTCTCTCTGCGTCTCGGCCTGTGAGATCGAGAAAGGGGACACGTTCAGAAAAGCTTGCCTTCGAAAAGTTTATACGGGGGGAGGGAGGGAGAGGAAGGAAATGGGTCTGTAGGCCTCGGAGGATGCCGGCGTTGTCTGACCGAAGAAACGGCTGGCGCGCTGGCTTCCTGATCCCGCCGGCGGCTCTGGCATCGACCCCAGAGGCTCTGAAGACTTACAGAGGCCTCCAATGGGTTCTCTCCTCCTCCTCCACCCGTTGACATGGTGAGGGCAGGAATCTTTTAGATCCTCACACGAGAAGAAGACGACGATCTTCCCTCAGAAAAAGAGCTGACGTATCGATTCAACAGATCAACGAGCTTACAAACACCGAAGGGAAGCGTCGTTCTCTCTTCTCGCGTCGCTCCCCATTTCCATGCTGGCTTCTGCCCCGGATGGCGACGGGGCAACGTTCATCTGAATGGCAGGGGCTACAGACCCCCTCTCTCTCTCTCCGACCCTCAGTGCCATTCTGTGCGTCGTCTCAGTGCCTTCGCCGGTGGTTCGACCTTCAGACAAGGGGGCGAAAGCGCTCCCTTTTACCGGGGGCGGGGGGTAGAGAGAGAAAGTGGGTAAACCGGCATGCCCATCTCTCTGTCTATCTAGAGACCAGAGACAGCCGCCACACGGCCAGAGGGAATCGGGCCTCCTTGCCCTCTTTCACTTTCACCCTTTTTCGGGTCTCGCGCTCCAGACAGTGAATGGAAGAGAGAGAAAGAGTGTGTGAGGTTTTTTACAAAGTGAATAGAGGAGGAAAAGAAGCGGGTAGAGGAGAAGAGGAGAGAGAGAGAGAGAGAGGGAGGGGACCTCGGAGCTGTGGACGAGAAAAGACGACAAGCGTACTTTCCAAAAGGACTTCGACAACAAGTCAAATGCTCCCTACATGCGGTTAAAAACTCAACCCCACGCCACCAAGCCCCCGCACACGACCATCACCACTAAAGATGACAAAAAGCCTGATTTCCTCATTGCTAAAAGTAGAGAGAGAGAGAGAGAGAGAGAGAGAGAGAGAGAGAAAGTGGAGCTTACAGTGGGCTCCGGTTCAGGCTCAGTCGCCGGAGGAAGGGTGGACTCCAATGGAGAACCCACAAGGAGGAAGGTCTTCTTTCTGGATCTCTTTCTCTCTCTACCTCAGTGCGCCGCCGTCCGCGACGGCGGGAGAGGTCTGGCCTTGCGGCGGTGGCCCATGCTGTTGACCAGGTCCTTGCGGGTGCAGACGGGGAACATGTTGACTCCGAAGAGGTTCAGCCGCCGGAGCACGTAGGGGAAGCTCAGCTGGTCCCTCGAGGTGAAGCGGACGACCTCGTTGAACCAGACGCACATCAGCAGGTTCGTCGCCGCCGTATGCTCCCTCACGATCACCGACGCCTCCGCCAGCGCTGGCCACCAAACAAAAAACCAGGAAGAAGAAGAAGAAGAAGAAGAAGAAGGGCGCCGTCAGACCCTCAAAGAGCGAGCGAGCGAGAGAGAGAGAGAGAGAGAGAGTCTCCTACAATACCTTTCTTGCCGCCGAACCTCTTCACGGCGGTGAAGCCGTCCCGTCGGTACTGTGTCAGCTGGAGCTCAACTTCCTGCGGGGAGGCCTTGTTCTTCTTCACGACGGCCCTCCCCTCGTCGAAGACGCTGCTGCGTGCGCCGTGCTCGGAGATGGCCAGGGCGGCGCCGCCGCGCCAGAGCAGCGCCTCCAGCACGCCGACGGGGTCCCTCCTGAACTGCGACTTGGCGTCCACCCATATCGAATACCTCGCCCTCGGAAACAGCCGGTGGCTCAGCATCTTCCATTCCAAAGATCAAAACATCAAAAAATCAAGAACTTTTTCCATTCCCAGCCGGAAATCAAATCCGATCTCACCTTTGGAATCTTCCCATTCAAGCGCTGATCGGAGAATGGAAGCTCCCTGACGAGGACGACCCGCCATTTTCCGACCATGCCATCGCCGCCTACTCCTCTCCCCTCTGCTTCCTGCGCAGCCAGAGTGACCTCGTCCCAGAACGCCACATAGCAGACCTGCACCAGACCAGAACCCTGCTAACCATGGAAATACGAAGGTGGGAGGGCACCGAGGAGCCGGCCATGGAGTTTTTTTTACCCTTCTGAGCGATGCTTCTGTCATCCCAATGGGCTGGTAGAGGTCGTCCCCACCGCCGAAGGCGCAGGTGGAAACCACAGCTTCACAGGTCTGCATGAAGCTCTTGTCGTCGCCGGAGATCCTGAACCCCCCCATCTCGCTGTAGAAGCCGCAGTGGACCGAGACGCTCTCCTCCATCTGGGGAAAGACGGTATCAACACAAGTACTCTACATCCAAAGGCTAGAGAGATGATAAGCATGATTTCCTAGACAGGCGCGCTCCTGAAGAATGAATGAACTCTATCAGACGATATAGTTGTACGGCAAAATTTTCATGTACATTATAAATATTACATCAATTGAAAATAATCCCTTTTAAGATCAAGATCAAGAAGGCCAATTCCAGAGAAACCACTTTTGGTATTCTACTCAGGACCCAGATAATATGATCCATTTGTGAAACAGATACAGACAAACGGGTCGCAATTTATGTACGATGTGCCAAGCCAAAAATCCGCCAAATAAAAAATTAAAAAAGCAAGAAAACAAAAACTCCGAAGAAAGTTGAGCTATTAATCATTTAGTTGATTCCTTGGCTAGAACTGGGAGCTCAAGACATCCCTCCTCCATGTATGTCGATTCCATCAAACAGGATCATGCAACTAAACTTCATCATGATTTTCTACGTTATATCTTCATCGTAATGCAAGCAGCCAGGAAGCAATATCTAGAAAAAAGCAACACATTTGATAAATTGAGTACATTGAGCGCGATTGTCAGTATTAAATATTCGAATCTAAAAGATTTTCGGGTGTAGATAATGACCTTAAAACATTCCTCTCTTTCATGAAGTGTTTGCTTGCCAGTAAAAAGATTAAACCTATCGTGGTCAGTATGCTCATGTAATAATGTGACATTGTCTCCGGCATCATAAGATACCCCAGACGCTGATTTGTACAGCACTTTTTTAACGGGGAAGTTGGACTCCGCACCTTCAGGAAACTCCAAGCGATCTATTTCTTCAGGGCGCAAGATCTTCAAGCAAGCTGGTCAAATCCAATAATAAAGAATTGTCAACAGAGCATTTGTTCTGAACTAAATGGAAAGAAAATGGCGTAATTGAATAGAGTAGAAAGGAAGAAAAGCATCATACAAAGTTTCTCTGTGGACAACTTTCAAAGAATGCTGTGTTAATTCAATCTGTTAATTAAATCCTTCAAAACTAATTCATATTTGTTTTCGTTTACGATTTTTTGCAATTGTTGAGCCTAACCCGCTAAAAAACAGACAGGTAGGTAGTGTGCAGGCAATCTTTGGTAACCATTAAACAGAGCTCAAGACCACGCCATATTGACGAATGAAGGTTCATGGTACCAAACTAAATTTATTATAAGTTTCCAAAATTTGTTCATCAAGAGAGGATAAAAAGGTAAGTTCGACCAATATTTTTGAGATCTCATGTGAATGTTTTTACTCATAAAACCTTCATATTAAGACCTGTAGACCCATAGAATATGGATCTCACAATGGGACGGTAGCAGATAAAAACTTTCACCACATATCTCATCGAGGTGCATGCTTCTCTGTGAAATAAGAACGTCTCCCCAACCCACCAAACATCTATCCAAATTTCACCACCACCGTCAACTCTGTGCGTGTTAGCAAACGTTCCACCTGGAACGAGTAGACTGACATCTGCGATCAGGAATCCGTGGATCTGAAAAAGTAAAACAGAAGCTTCTCTAATGAAATGCTCACATATATTGACACTGATTAGACTTCAATCTCCATTCCAGAAAATCTTCTTCAATCAACATTAGTTGCAGCTTATAATCTTGATGTTTCTTCTGTGACATTCATAAAATATAAAGACGTTCTCTGTGCACTAAAGTTTAGTACCATACACCCCACACCCAATTCAAAAAACGACAAACAAGTTCATTTATCCTTTGTCATATTGTGTACAATTCTGACTAACTGCCAGAGAGCCCTTTCCTGTTCCAGATGAAACATTCTACCTCAAATTCGTCATCTCTCTACATAGCTCTGCTGTAGATAACTAAAAACCTTTCTATCAAAAATAATGGAGGACAACGAAAATCCTTGCCGTCTCTTAAGTTTCGCACTCACCTATATACCAAGAATCTAGACATGATAATGCAAGATGAAATGCACACAACAACATTCCACATATTTCAGTATCCAACTCTGATAAGATGCGGCCCACACACAACTGTAAAACATTTCCCCAGAACTCTTGCAAATATCACAAGAGGATCTGCTCTGCATTTTGAGATGCAAGCATCTAATTCTTGTGCATGAGCTCATCAAAAGATTTCAAATAATTTACACCTGACGTCAATAACCTGTCAAGTTGAGGATGTACCCAAGGAGAAATTGACAAAGATAGAAAAATATTGCTGCAAAAATCAAGCACCCGAATTCCGACAAAAAAAAAAAAACCAAAAAAATCTGCTTTTGAACATAACTTATAATCTCCCAAAGAAACAGAAACTTCAGAATTCTCATCTCCCACACCATTCTCTGATATCTGACGATACACTATGGGCAGGTTCCTGGGCCACATAAAGAAAGCAGCACCTAATTTTCTAGATACTCCCAGCAGATCTCACGTGAAGGTCAGCCTTCCAGCATTACGGAGAGAAAACAGATACTAAAATTACATGACAAGAAGAAAGGGGCTCATCTTCTATGGTCAGGACTTACAGATTCTACAGTTTCCAAGAGGAAATCAATATGTGGAGGACAAGATCCTACATTACATAGCCATCTCTAGATACCAAACATCCCAGAGTCTCTTTTCGGAAGATTCATTATAGAACGACATGTAGAAATTCGTGAAACTAATCCAAAGCAGTAGAAATTTGAAGTTCTGAACATAAGAGATACAGGCTCATGTCAACACAATAGTTTATATGGCAAATTCTTTGTTCAGGGCAGCCGAAACTGGACAGGGTGGGTGAATAAGGCCAACCTGAATTGACACAAATCCAGAAAGGTCATGAGATATTTTATTAATGAATTATGCAATCGTCCCCTCACCCTGATCAATTACAGTCCATATTATTTCTGAATTGTCCAAAGATGATTGCAATTGGAATCAACCAAGTTTTCAAGCCACGATACTCGGACGTATACCTATATTTGATTCCAATGTACAAACTTCAAACTTTGAAGGCCGCAAATCCCACCGATGTCAAATTCCGTCCTCAGTGTATGCCTTTATCAAATATTTAGAAAATATTAAAAAAATAAGTAAATGAACCCTCTGAGACAACTCAAAAATCTTGAGTGAGTTCTCACTGTATCGGTCACATGAGATTGCTTGACGTCAACCTCGAGTACCTAAATTATGGAGTTGACAAGTGCCACAACCGAAATTCGTGGTTATAATAGCCAAATTCTTACGACCTCAGAAGGGAATCAAAGAACCTTTTCAACTTTTTTATGACCTATTAGAATTTTGATTGCGAAGCTTCTTTACTTAATCATCGAACAGCTTGTCTCAAGGAGACAACTGAAACACTGCAGATGAAGATGCGACAGATGAAACCTCAATTTACCACATCCGAAACCAAATTTCCATGAAAAGAACATAGAAGAGACAGGAAGAGGCTGACCAACGAAACAGGCGACTCACGCTCTCTGACGCCATTGACGACCCGCGTCGTCGGATCGAGCCGGTTAAGGTTTCCGTGCGGCTTCTGATCGTCCACCAACTCCACTTTCTTCCCAACATCTCCACTCTTCCAGGTGACCCGGGAAATCTCGAAGAACAGGACCGCGAATGTGGGAAGAATGATCAGAACGGGCCACCACCTCACGACCTTCCTCACGATCCTCCGCCAGATCCCACCGCTCACGCGTATCACCGTCTTCTTCCGCTTCTGCCGGACCCGTACTCTCACCTTGGCAGGCTCGTCGGACTCCTCGTCTGAGACAGAGACGGCGATACCTTTGAACGAGGACGACGCCATCACTGAAGACCCGCCTCGACCGATGGCATACAGAAAGAAAGAAAGAAAGAAAGGAGAGAGAGAGAGAGAGAGAGAGAGAGAGAGAGAGAGAGAGAGATGGGTCGGAGTTCTAGGCCCATTAGTATCCGAGTCGGTGCGGCCCAATGGGCTTTCAAGGGAGGAAGGCCACGTGCGAGTGGTCAAGGCGCGGCTTGAGGGCCGTTACTTCTTCAGGTGGGCCCACCACGCGAGCCTACATTCCCAGGGCTTCTCGGGAGATCGCCTTCCGGAAGCAGCAGGCGACGAATCGGGAAAGGAGGGAGGAACTCGCAGAATTTCCTTCTCTGGAATGTGTAGCCATTTTGGTCCCCTCGGGCTAGAAGATCCCCGTGCTTCTTGGGTTTTCCTTCCCTTCTTCTTCTTCTTCTTCTTCTTCTCCGTCGGCGTTTGTAGGGATGGCGCCAGCGGGTAAGGCGAGGCCGGGGAGGCGGAGGATCCCCCTGCAGAAGATCAGCAACGGGGACGCGCGCATGGTGAGCTTCTCCAAGCGGCGGTCGGGGCTCTTCAAGAAAGCGGCCGAGCTCGCCATCCTCTGCGGCGCTGAGATAGCCGCCGTGGTCTTCTCCCCGGCCGGCAAGCCCTTCTCCTTTGGACACCCCTCCGTAGAGGCCATAGCCGACCGCCTGCTCGCGGAGGACGCTGCCGGCGGGGCCACCTTCTCGCACCCAGCGGCGGCGGCGGGCGGGGATTTCGCGACCAGCGGGCTGCAGCTGTCTCACGAGGAAGTGTGCAGGAACTTCGACGCTCAGGTGAGGAAGAGGGAGGCGGTGGAAGCGGCGCTGAGCGGCGCGTGGGAGCGGCGGAATGTGAACGCGGCGGCGCTCCGGCTGGAGCAGCTGTCACGAGTGAAGAGCTCGATGGAGGCGCTGAAGAGGGAGGTCGCTCGCAGGGCCGAGGAGCTCCGCGTCTCCGAGCTCTCCTTGGTGCCCATGGCTCCTGCGCCACCGCCGGGGCCGACGGCGCCCCCCCGCCTACCTCCCGGAGTTCCTCGTCTGCTTACCCTCGACATCTAGAGGGGGACAGAAACGCCGGGGAGGCCATCCTAGACGAACTCCTGATTCAAATCCCACCCGGATTATCTTCTTTTCAGTGGATGCAAGATCCCCCGGGTGACGATGAGCCCTAATCATCGGTCATTTTATTTCTCGGCTTCTAGATCGACATGATTTCATGTGTTCAGCCACATTATTTGATCTAAAATAAAATGGTCACCAGAAAATTATTCTCATATTTTATAAATTATTTCCAATTAATACAATCTTCTCTATGTATATAGATGGCAAGGCGTAGGACCACTGCCCGTGTGATTCATATGATGTTCTGTCAAGCAAGACTAGGTTTTTTAGGATATAAGATAACATGAATTGGCTGTAGAGGTGAGTGACTGGATATTTCTACCTAATCCAGAAAATTTGAGTCAACCCCATCCATACAAATGTCGAGTCAACCATGGGCTTTCTGAGGAAAATTCTACGCTGTGGACCTTGAGAACGAAGATCTTCGAACCGAGAATGGTTTGGTGATGAGCAGCGTCGTCTCCAGAGTAGGAAGAAATGAAAAGAGTAGAAAGCCTGATCTTGAAGCCTCCGAGGAAAGGTTTGGTGATGACCGATGAGATGATGTCGACCGAGTTTTGAAACGAAACGCCGAGGGATTTCTCTCCATGACCGGAAGAATAGTGAGGCAAAAGAGGAAGTAACCACGGTATCAAGTTCTTGGTGATTTGATGCTGGTGGAATATGAGGAGCTTGGTATCAAGTTCTCTCTCTCTCGCTCTCTCTCTCTCTCTCTCCCTTAGGAGTTAACAGTCGCAGAAATTCATAACGGGGGAGAGGGTTGATGATGAAGCTGAGACTCAAAGAAGACGGAGTGAGTCGCGGTAGACAGGAGATTTTTCGATTCACTCTCCAGTTTTATCCCCCGGAGGCGGAAATCCCCCAGAATCGGACGACGAGGTGCAACGAGAGCTTTCTGCATAAACTCGACACCAAGAATCCCGGACTAGCCGGTGATCGTCAGTTTTTTCTTTCAGAGAGAGAGAGAGATGCATCCAGTTGAGGGAAAGAATACCGATACTACCGCCACCTTACCTCTCTAGAACAAAACTATCGCCGCCGGTCCCCATCCGGGCGGGCCTTAGAGAGAGAAATCCGAAATCAAGGGCCGCGGACAAGCCGGTAATCGTCAGTTCTATCTCCTAGAGATAGAACACATGCCTCTACTAGACGGAAAGAATACGGATGCTGTCACTCTCAACTCCCTGAAAGATCACTGCACCGGCGATCCCCATCGGCGAAGCGAGCAGTGTGATATTGGCACGGCTCAATCAGACCCTCCAGTCCTTGAGAGGACGACTTAAAATCTGATTGAGCCATCCCAACACCATACTTTCACCAAGCACTGCGGCAGAAGCTCACGGCGAAGGCCAGGCTCCCCGGAAGAAACGGCGGCGCCGCCCGAGGGAGGAGCAGAAGCAGGAGCAGGAGGATGATGATGTCGACGACGGAATGGGAAGGAGGAGAATCTAGAAATAGATGAGGGTTAGGAGGGGGGGGAGAGAACGGTTGGGACGTCCAAATCTCTGCTCACAGGAGGGAGAAGGCTAGAGAGATTAATAAACGGACTCGATGACGAGGCTCAGTGGTTGCTGATATAATCACCGTCAGTAGGAATGGGTCCCCGAAAACCGATGAGATTAAGCTCGCCATTCAACATATTCAATGATAAAGCCTCTAGGATCGCCCTCAGGTTGAAACAACGGAGGATCTGCGCTCTCAGGTTGGAGCTAGCTTGTAGTGCGATAATGGAATTTACAGACGTTAGCGGCAAGGTTCAGGCCGAATGGGTGACAACGACTGAGCTTGGGTTTTATCAAACTAAGCAGAATCCAGTAAAAAACCTCCAGACAATAGGTTCAGACGTGATTGCTGAGAAGAGAGAGAGAGAGAGAGAGAGAGAGAGAGATGGGCAAGCCATAGCCATCATCTCCCACCTAATGACATTAGTTATTGTCTTAGGGTTGCTGGAGACGCAGACGTGTCGGCGTGTGAGCTTCCCCTTTGCAGCTGCGGGACAATGAAGAACCCTTCAGACCCGCCGACTCCTCCCTGGGTGGTCACCCCACCAAACTTCTCCGTGCGCAGTCATATCTGCGGCTCTCTAAAGATGTGGGCGAAGGCAAGGATGGTGAACAGAGATAGACGATGGCCAATAAGAATCCGACTTCAGAAGAGAGCAAGCTATAGTGCTTGCCATTAATGGCTAGATTCTGAGTTCCTCAAAAGAATATAACCCACCGCGACAACACTCCGGAGACTCGTCTTTCTCGGTAGATCACAGGAACGTGATATTTCTTACGGTTGAGTTGGGCAACAAATCACCACACAGTCTTTGGTATTTCTCGCTCTAAGCGAGAGATCATCCTAGAGCCTACAGCTTTACGCCGCCGGGAAGCCCCTTGGAACGTAGCTTCTCCTACTCCCTCATGCGTTCAGTTCGTCGACGCTCGTTCGGAAGATGAAGTCCTCGTCCTCCAACTCCTCATGGAGATATTGAATGGGCGGCGGAATGAATTCCTCACCGCTATCGCGATTAGTTTCATCTGACGCCCTCTGGCCCTGAAATCGAACCCATGAACCACGAGCAGCACTGAATAAGCACTTAAAAGCCAATAGTGAATTCTGAACAAGAAGAAGCATTTCTCATTGTTCGCGCAGATAGTGACCGAGGGAAAGCGTTTTTTATCAAGTGTCCGGGAAGCTGGTGAAACCCATGGAACCATCGAAGCAAACCTTCTTCAGGACGTAGAAGAAATAATGGAATTCCTCCCCGAAAGTTTCATATTCAAAGGACCAGGTCAGCTCTGGGTCTTCAAAGAAGCGACGCCTGAAATGCGGCTGCGGGAGGAACAAGCCATGGTTTATGTCCTCAACAGGAAGATCGGGGACTCGGCATGAAATTTTTTTGCCAGGAATTCATGGGTACCTGCCCAAATGAAATAGAGATGAAGGTCCCATTTGGCTTGAGCACTCTGTGGACACCCTCCAGCATGGCCTTCACCTTGTCCACAGTTTCGAGCCGTGGATTCCACGGGTCGCCGCTGTCCACGAACAGCACATCCTTGACATTCAAAGTTATGTGGAATGAATATCGTAACGATGTCTGAAATCGTCGCCGAGAAGTTGTAGGTCGGATGATCGACCGCGGCTCTGAACTTTTAGAGAAGGCTTAGCTCACCATTGTTCCTTTCTCGATCACTATGTCAAAGCAATCATCGTCGAAGGGGAGGCTGAGCATGTCAGCCACAAGCACCTTGATTCCTGGTAGAGAGGAAGAAATCCAGAAAGAAAAATATATTTAGGCAAAGAATTGTCACTCAATGTGAATGCAGAAATTATGGGCTCTCATGCTTCATCAGTTTTGAGTCCCTCGATTCTGAAATCTCACTACAATACCCTACCAGAACACGATGTGATGCAAGTTTATGGAAAAGATCTCAACAATAAAGCGATAATCTTTTTTTCCACTTTCGTCTAAGTTCATGTTCAGCCATATTTATTCCCTAAGAACATCGAAAAACCTAATAGAAGGCAGGTTCACTAAGGCGATTTCGTCCAGGATCATCCCTGAAACCTCATTCGCATACTATTATGGGTGGGAGAGACAGCGGCTCAGACCAAGCGCTGCCCCGGAGGCATCGCCAATTAGAGAGGAGTCCACACCTTTCAAACCCTTGCCTTGGAGGCGCTTCCGCATCATTTCGACGGCGACTTCTGAGATATCGCAGCTGGTGATGTCGGAAACCCCGTCCTCCAGCAAAGCTTCGGATAGCCGGGAGCTGCCGCACCCGACCTCCAGGACCTTCCATTCATAGTCATATCGACAGGCACTTTGCATGCATAGGACCACACGCGTCCGATTGGAGAAAAGAGAAGAAGATGACGAAGACGAAGAGAAAGATCCGGTGGGCACTCACGGAGTGAAAGGGGCGGACATGGCGGCGGACGAGGTGCCGGAAGTGGGAGTAGTCCTTGAGCCACTCGTAGTGCTCCTCCTCTGCGAATCTCTCGTCCCTGAAAAACTTGAACGCTTGAAGCAATGAAGGAAGGCACACATACCACTGGGATTGTAAGGAGGAAGGAAACGAGGAGCTTTCTAACCAGTAACTAGGGTTCAGATATGCGGAAGCCGACTGTGGAGCAGTGCCAGCGCCGGCACTGCTCCGAGATTCCCCCGCCGGCTGACCGGAGACTTGTAGCGTCTCGCCGTCAACATCTGCCATCGCCTCTCGCCCCTCTTCTTTGCTCCCGAGAGAGAGAGAGAGAGAGAGAGAGGGTACCCTCCTCGAGATTTATTTCTTAAATAAATATAATCCTTTAAATAAAAAAAAAAGACTACGATTGAAAAAGGTTTTGATAGAACTGTATCTACTGAGGATGTGCACGTAGACATTTCCTTCGTTCCCCCAATAATTATTTAATAAAATTATTTTCAGAGTTAAAACCATTAAAAAAATTCAGTCTTTATTAATTTCCCGAATAAGTTATAAATCGCCATGCGTGTGAGAGAGAAGAACACCATAAATACAAAAAAATACATCTGCTCCGTACTTTCCTAAATATCATGTGAGAAAATTATAGTCACAGATAAACCCATCAAAAACCCATTAAAAAGAATCGATCTTTGCTTAAACCATGACTTGCCACTTGTGATATTGAGAGAGAGAGAGAGAGAGAGAGATTCACTTCCAAAGTGGGAGCCCCCTTGAAGAAGGCCACCGTTGACCTTAGAAGGGGTCGAACTAGACCTTCTTCATTCTGCTCCTATCCCTGCATGAGATGCTCAAACAATAATAATCTTCATCGCCGCAGGAACATATCAAGCAATCACAGTAGCTTAACAGAGGAAATAATCCTTCTCTCTCTCTCAATCATCCGATGTACCCAATTCCACAGAGAAATCACAAGATCAGATGAAAGAAACATGACGATAACAAAAATCATCGTTCGAAGCTTCGATCTCCGTGGACCCCCGGGCTAGTACTTGGGCAGCGACGGGGTCGGGGAGGTCGGAGGCTTCAGATCTTCGTACCTGTTAGAGAGAGAGAGAGAGAGAGAGAGAATCAGGGAGTTCTGCATGGTCTGGGATTGAAAGGTCAGAGAAAGAAATATAACGGCTTACATCACGAAAGGCGACAGAGGCCTCGCTGCCACTGGCTGCACCGTCCGCTCCTCAGACCCGGCGACGGGCGCATTGGGAGAGGGCGAAGCGGGCGGCTTGAGGTCGTCGTATCTGATGCAGTTCAGCGATGAAAGATGAGCTTATGGGTTTATCAGAGCGCCGGCAATGGATCAGATCTGGGAAGATTCCCAGATCTTGGCAGGTCTTACGTAGAGAAGGGCGATCGAGAGCTTGACTCCTGGGCTTCAGCTTGGGCACCCTCTTCAGACAGAGTTGCTCCGTTCTCTGCGCTGGACTTCACTGGTGCAGCGGGCTGGGCGCCGGCGGCGGAGCTCGGCGTTGGGGAAGGAGATGTCGGCGGCTTCAAGTCCTCGTACCTGCGAATCGGAACGAAGATCTGTTAGAATCATTCGTAATCAGACGATTCGTTTCTATCATACCAAGACGGGACGATCGGCCGGCTTCGAGTCGCTCACGCGGCGTAAGGGGAGAGGAACCCCGTCTTCTTGGTGGGCTCCTCGCTCGCAGCGTCGGCGATGGCGGGGGACACCACAGTTACAGGGAGGCTCCGCGACTTCGGCGCAGCTACTGCCTCCTACGAAGAAGTATGAAAGATGATGGAAAGAAAACCAGCGAGAGAATCTAGCTCACTGATGAGCGAGAGAGAAACCGTGGAAGCTACCTTTGGTGGGGAGGTATCTTCACGCTGGGCGGGGATCCTAGAGAGAAGTTCTCCCACTGGAGTCAGAGGCGCCGTTGTCTCTGCTATGACTTCCACCACTTTACAGAAAGAAAGGCTTCTATTTTTTGCCATGAATGCGATGAGCTCCGCGACCTACCATCCATGAAATGGAGGCAAGCAAGCTCAGGGAAGCATGGAATACATAAGAGACTATCTGACAAGATATTAATTTCAAGAAAATCTCTGCATCACAGATTACTGCGTAGTTCTTGGATCAGGGAAAATCCTTTCCCTGGCACTTGATTTCCAAAAAAATTTAAAAACAAAAAAGAGAAAGAAAAAGAAGGGTCCAGCATCAATGATTTCTATCGAGTCCGGTTCAAACCATTCAATCGTCATATCAAATTCCCAATAGAAAATATTTCCTGCTTCTGAGATTGACGATGGGAAGTATGAGACGGTGCTTACTTGAAGATTTGAAACTAGACCGCCAAAATAGGTGTCTTCGTTTGCAAGAACAATGTTGTGCGTTTCCTTGAAAGAATCCGTAGGCCGCTCCATTCCTCCTGGTCTAACTATCTGCAGCGCAGAGTTTCTTAATAAAGGTACAATGTTTGAATCTTTTTATTCGAATATGGAATGAAATAATCACTCGAGAAAAAACAAGCTCCCATATCTATTTTGCTGTATACTCACCGTGTAAGGAAGGCCACTAGCAATAAGTGCTTCTTCAGACTTTCTTTTCCAGAGGAGAACCCCCCAGAATAAGCTTCATTGAGGAGGCAAACGGAATCAGGGAAGAAGATAAATTCCATGAGTAAACGCAGATAAATGCTTGTAACGATACATCATCTGTAATTTGTGCGAAATCAGAAGCAAGTGAACAAAAAGGTCAATGATGCACGAGTGCAGAAACTACTTGATCATAAACTATAAAAATGATATATTAATCTCAAAATTATAATAATTCTATGGTAAGCCAAATCAGTCTATTACGGATATGGTATAGAATGTTCATGCTTATTGGGGGAAAAAGTTCCATCAACAGCTAAAATACATGTAAATATATTTTATGACTACGTTTAATATTTTCTTTTGAATAGTAAATAAAAAATGCATATACTTAAACCCAACTACATAGCACCAGAAACTGAACTTGTGGAAGAAAAAATAAATCTCAACTTACTTCAGTATTGCTGCCGGAAAGCCAACCTTATTGGTCCCCAAAGACGTAAGCAAAATGAAGTGCTCCACTTTTAGAGCGGTTGCTGGAATTGAATCGATTCTCAGACCATCAAGAATGGAATATTCTCAGACCATCAAGAATGGAATATTCTCAGACCAAAGACGCACATCCTAAGTTCAGAAGCTATGGCCAAGTTGGGGGAGTGGAGCGGGGAAGTTCAGACATGTCTGCTAAGTGCTGAGCAAATACCTGCATCAATGAGATTTACGGTGGCTTTGTAGTCAATACGATATGGTCCTGTGACATCCAGCACCTCCTTTTCACTGGCCCCAATGCAACAGATCACAACGGAAGCATCGCCTATTGCAGGACCTATTTCGCGTTGATTCTCCAGGTCGCATTCAACTAGTTCTAGCCGCTCTATCGCTGGGCTAAAACTCAAAAAATGTCTGTTATTTTCCATAAAAACGAGTTCCAATCCAATAAAAACGATGGTAATAATCAGATTCATAATTCCGTTTTCAAAAGCACATGTCCTCTGATTTCCTTGAGGTAGGAGTCAGAAAATGACCCTCGCAAAATCTGGTTAGCTTACGTGGTGTTTCTGAAGCATTCACAGCAGCAGCATCAAGCTTCATTTGTTTAACGCTCTGAAAATCAAAGTTTCGGAAAAGTTAGAGTTCGAAGCGGGAACTCACACGAAACTGGTTTGTGTGAAAATTTTCCAGGACTTGAAAACCTTTGCACCTGCAGCAGTGTTTCTGCTCTTTGTGCGTTCCGTACTCCTGCTCTTACTCGCAAACCAAGCTTCAGGAGTTCCCTGATTAAATTTCGAGTGCGTAAGACCACAATTGAATCTCATTTCATGTTGTGGAAAATGGGACCATGATATCAAACCTCACTGTCCGGGAGCCAACTCTACCCGTAGCGCCTGCAACAAACGCAAGGTTGCCATCTTTTGAGCTGGTTTCCACCTTGGCTTCTGCTGTTGCCTTCGGATTCAACCCAGTTGCACCTTGAACGCTTCCTGTGGCACAAAATAGATTATTGATGAAGACGCGAATGTATACGTATGATTTCCTAATCATAGATTCACTTTCGTATGAATAAAGAAGTTGAACTTAGGCAATTTGTGTACATATTGTGATCCCCATTGCCGAATGAATTAAAGAAAATTCAGAATGATGCCAGTTATCTGATAAATATCAAGGAACAAATAAAGAAAGTAGTTCAAACGGCAAAGTGAATTAGATTTATTTTTTTTGGAGATTCGCCAATAAATGCCGGTCAACCCACATCAATCGTCCTGCCCATTGTAATACGAGTCCCGGAACAAGGCTCACGGGGACCTAGAAATAGGCGCTTAAGATCTAGGTACATAGAAACGCCGTAGTACATATTTCTGAACTTCGAATTTACTTGTAATAATTTTTATTGGAATTTTACAAAACAGGAAAAAATCCAATAGAAGTTAATTATAAGTTTCTGATTCAGCTAACCTGATGATTATTAGAGCAAGATAGGAGTCCAGAGTACCTTCGAGGATCATATGATCAAGAAATGTCCAGAATTAAAAATCGTTATGGCTGTGACATCATCAAGATTGATTGACTCTTCAGAATTCCATAGAGCCAACCATTCCACGAGAAATCCGTCTAGTGACGCTCAAATATTTCAGAGTTTCAAACTCAAGAACAAAGAAGTAGCAACGAGAACTTCCAGGTTAGGTCTCATCAATCAATCAACAGCGTATGAAGCCGGTATTACCCCCAATTGTTTTAAATAATGCCGCGATTAATCTCGTACCAAATTAAAAGAACCAGGGAAGCAGAAAAATAACAGTAAAACCAATACAACTGTTCAAAGGAAAAGTTGATTGAATGATAGCAGTTTTCAGGGGGCATTTTTGTTATCGCGACAAAAGTTGATGTCGGCTTTCGGCATTACCTTGATATGCTCGTCATCAGTTTTCTTGACTAGAGACGATGAATTATGCTCAAATTAATGAATGATCCCAAAGTACATTGAAGAAACAGAGAACATAGTGTCTCGTAAAATGCTTTACATGCTAACAAAAAAAAAAGTCAAGGTAAATGGACTTTTGAGTCGGAACCGAGTTTCTGCATAGGATTTTTATACTGTCTTAAGGAAGATTTAAAAAAAAAAAGAATTTAAGCATGGCTAATGGTTAGGATAGCAATCCAAGAATGATGAACTTCAAACAATGTGGCCAGAGAGAACGATCTCGAAACACTCGGAAACTAAACGCATCCATACGCGACAAAATCCCGCTCCACAATTGAGAGCGTGCGACAATACCCCCTGTTCGAGGCGTGAAACCGATGAATCTGAGTCTTCTCCTTGCGTCCGGACACCTGTTGCTACTGCTGGTCCCCTGGAAACTGAGGGGCTGGCCGGAGAGGAAGCCGGTTCTCTCCAACGGACGATGCGAGCTCGTCGCGAAGCAGAGCGGTAGGCGGGAGGCCGATGGAGACTGCAGCGAGAGGAGCTCCATTTCTCACCGCAAGACCTCCAATTCCACTGATGAGATTCCCTCCATCTCTGAGTTCTTCTACTCCACAGGCCGGAGGAAAGAGAGGCTGGGGAGGCGCATCTGCCTACGTGGTGAAATTGACGGAGGAGATTCGATCCCGTATTTTCTCCATCCTCTGACGTGGCACCGCCATGTCCTTACTTGCAGATATGGTGGGCCCATGCATCGATTCTCGAGCCAGGACAAATGGCCCATGCGCTTCGAGGCCCACAGTCTGTCGCAGTACCCCAGGAGGCCCATTAAAAGTATGGGCTTTCCTTATTGGCCCATAAGCTGGTTAAAATCGGTACTCTCTCTCTCTCTCTCTCTCTCTCTCTCTCTCGTCCTCTCTCTTCTTTCCCCCCCCCTCCCCCGGCCCCCGCTGTAGTAAAGGAAAGTAGCTACAGCAACGACTGCTGTATCTCTGGTTTCTGCCCTTCCCGTAACTGATGAAGGCACAGAGATAGGGAGAGAGAGAGAGAGAGAGAGAGAGAGAGAGAGAGAGAGGGAGGGAGAGAGAGAGAATTAGACAAAATTCAAGTTGATTAGCTTGCATCGAGTTTAAATAATGATTCGGGCTTCTGTTACTAGTTATTAAAATAATCGAGATAGAAGAACTGATACTTAAGAACAGAAGCATGCGAAGACTTTGATGCGGCCACGATGAACGCTGTTCAGTATTTAATCTGGATAACGCCAAAGAAGTCGTTGACCGTGAGTGATTTGACCCCAGAGGCAGAGGGGATTGACCTGTGGTTCTTTAGACAACCACCGCCGACGGGATGAGAAACCCTAGAGGAAAGTCACGATAACCAGAGGAACAGTTATCGGGACTCATGGAGGATAATCGTCGTGCTTCCCATCCACTACTTCCTCATATCTCGTTTATCCACCATGAAGAAGCGGATGCAGAGCCCCAAGCTCACGGCCACCGCCGAAGCCATCCCTGTCAATCCGGAGGGGAAGAAGAAGAAGAAGAAGAATGAGAAGAAGAAGAAGAAGAAGAAGAAGAAGAAGCAGCGCACCGTAGTCCACGCATCTTCTGGCGGTGGGCTTCTCTTCAGAGATGGGCGGCAAGGGTTCTAAGTGGAGGAGCATAGAGACGGTGACCAGAGCGCTGCCGAGCTTCTCCCTGACGACCCTCTCGCGCATGTCCAGGGACCAGACTCCCGCCGTCCCGTGGGCGTATCCCTCCACGGCGACCTTCAGGAAGAGCGCTCCTCCGATCAGAAGGGTCAACCGCGCCACCGACTGAACGGATTTGACCGTGGTCCCGATCTGGAGGAGATTGACGGCGGAGGCAACGGCGTAGAGGGGAAGCCAGAGATACCAATCTGATGGAAGAAAAAAGGTTGCTTCGGATCTGATGATCTTTCCTTCTCTTCTGTCTCTCTCTCTCTCTCTCTCTCTCTCTCCCTCGGCGTGGGTATCAGAAGCTGCTTACCTGGGTCGTCCAGCTGAACTGAGGCGGAGTAAGCGAAGAGGGCGGCCATCAGGAGTGAGCAGGTGGAGAACAGGAGAGATCGCCTCGTTTGCTCCGCCATGCCAGGCTTCTTCTTCTTTTTCTTTCTGCGCAGCTGGCTTCTCTCTCTTGAATCCACGACAATAAAGTCAACGATCGGCAGTATTGGTCAGAATCACCATCACCGATTAAATGCTTCATAAGATAACGGAGAGGAGCCCCCCATCGTGGCGCACGTAGTTTCCGAATAGTATAAAGATAAGATTTAGAAGATTATCCACTTGATAATTTACAAAATCTACCTCCCTTTCTCTCTCCTAGATCTGTGCACGGATAGCTACGAACAGAAACGATGGATCGAGAGAGTCCATTTTTATTCCGTCGAAAATAAATAATAAATTGAAAAACACAAATCGTACCCTCCCTTCGTGAAGATTTTTGATGGGCTACATAAAGTCAACTTTAAGTAGTGCGAGAAGTCAAAAGTGGAGGCAGTGATTTTTTTCTCCGGCTGGGGTGGTGAGAAAAATCATAAAACTCATAATTTTGATTTTCTTGCCTTGTATCAATATATACGTGAGAATATTATTTGATTTAGGTTATTGCTATACTGGGAAAATAATCGGCTTTATTTATCTAATTATAGTTGGTGAATTTTGTGATCCCATCATCATCCAAATTAATCTCAAATAAATACTTCTGAATAGTTCGAATTTATTTCGGATCCATTTATATATCACCCTTTTAATAATTTTATTTTAAAAAATAAAATCAAGTTTGAGAAAAATCTACCGAATTTAATTGGAGTGCCGAATATTTGAATTTTAAAATCCTTGCAAATATAATACGAGGAAAATACCAAGACATCAATGAGCCGAGTAAGTCAATAAATAGTCCAGCCCAGTTCATACCATGGTGACATCGATTGTGAGTGATCTAAGTCAACTACCTAGCGATGAAACCTGGCCCATCTCGCCTTTGTACCCTTGGACCTCCCACGAATGTCAATAAAAAGTCCAGCCCAGCTCATACCATGGTGGCAGGTATTGTGAGTGATCTAAGTCAACTACCTAGCGAGGAAACTCGACCCATTTTCACCATTATACCCTTGAACCTCCCATGTTAGTTTACATCCGCTCCTTCCCTATATAGTCAACCACTCCTTCCAGCAGCCCTTCCTTCATCAAGAAAGCTTCTTGGCCGGGCCCGTGGTCACGAGGGAGATTCGCCATTCCATCAGGAGGGTAACAAGGTAATTGTTCTCACTGACTAATATCCGAGACCCCGACACGTGGGTGCGGTTGACGAGGGCAGGTGTCACAAGGCAACAGTAGAGGGTCTGCTCAACGCACGTGGGAAAGCTAACACACACATACGACAACGCACGTGTTCTAGCCCCCCCCCCCCCACTCTCTCTCTCTCTCTCTCTTCAACATACGGTAAAAGGCATAATTTTACCTATTTCAAGTTTTTTAAAAATATTTATGAGGTTTTATTCCTAAAAAAACCAAGGCTGCTTAGTGTAATGACCCTTTTCACCATATTTAATGTACAGTATTAAATGCAAAATGATTCGATGTGAATTAATTCAACGTGACTATGATTACGATCCCTATAGTCCGTATTTTCCTAGCAATACTCCGATCAGACCCAGCCACGACGTCGGTCCCATGCAGTGGCCCCTAACACTTTCCCCCCACAGAGAGAGAGAGAGAGAGAGAGCATAATGTACACATCATCTGTTCGGCGTAATGCGTCTAAGAAATGATTCTCGATATAAGTCAAAAGAGAGAGTGGTCTGGACCCCTCTGTCTGTCTGTCTGTCTGACTCTCTCTCTCCTTCTGCCTGCGACACGTCTCTGAAGGTAGAGGTGGACTTTGGAGGGAAGGGAGGTTTTGAACGACGAGAAGGGGCTCCAACTCCAGAGAAACTCGAAACAGACTTGTACGAGAGAATTACTACCGCTGTAACATCCGACCTGTGAGAATGCTCACAGACTCTCTTTCTCTCTCTACTGGTAAGCAATTTAAGGCAGCGTCCTCGGTTTCTTAACTGACCAGAGCTCGAGGGGGTGGGCAGGCTCGTCCGGAGCCATTTAATTTCTTCTTGTCGGAGTTGCTTCCAGTAGAACGACACGTCACGCTCGCCATCAAGAGCTCCGCCAGTGGCGGCGGATGAATCACCGGCGAGGTGAAAGTGGCGGTCGTCTGAGAACCGGGGAGGATGGTGATGAAGTCAGAGAGAATCCCTGCCGCGGGCACGGCGGAATAGGAGAGATAAGACTGCGACTGCTCTCTTACTTGTCCACGAGCGCCGACAGCCATTTCACTAGCGGCGGTGGGGGACCCGAGCGAGGAGAGGAGGCGTCTTAGGGCAATCGCCAGCGTCTGGTTCGGGTCATTTCTTTATTCTCCGCGCGACCGGCCGGAGGAAATCCAGAGTTCCTCCTCCCTTCTCCGGTAAATGTCAGTGGAATCGTGGATAATGACTCCGTGTGGTGGAGCCATGAACCTCGCAGGCCGCCCAGCGAACTAGGGCTTTCCCGTCTTTCCACGCCTGCAACTGCCACGGGAAAAAACAATGGAGCTCTGTGCTCTGGCATTGAACCAATGGAGGCCCCCCCCCTCCTCTCTGTCTCTCTCTCTCTCTCTCTTTCTTTCTGTACGCCCTGTTCTCCAACCCCGCTCTGGGTGCTTTCCATCATGAACCTTATAAAGAAAGAGGAAAGAGGAACAGAGGGCTGAACCCGGAAGCGACAGGATCCATCATCGTCCCTCCCTCCAGACAGGGTAAAAGCGGCGGCCTTTCCCTTCCCTCTTCTGTAGGAAGCAGGCAGAGTTTCTCTACTATTCTCTATCTAGCGCTCCTTTGCTTCTGCATCTTCGTTCAGGATTGCGTGCGAAAGCGTTCGCCAGTTCGAGCCTGCAGATCGGCTCCCCAGTGAGGGGGTTTTTCTTCGAGAAGGTGAAGGCTCGGCCGCCGCGGGAGGAAGAAGACACCTGGAGGCCCTGGAGGAGCTGCTGCGGATTAACCAACCTTAAGTCGGCTTCGAATCTCCTTAAGGAACCCATCATTCCGTTCACGGAGCTTCCTCGGCGGCTTTCTGCAGGGATTTAGATCTCGATTCCCGTTCCTCTGAGACCTGCTCCCGGTTTTCCCTCCGTTTCTTCATCGCCGGAGAGCTGGATTTCACGAATCCCATCGGCCCCAGTTCTTCCTACGACTCGTAGGAAGAAACCCTAATCAAGGGATGAGGAGACTTGGGAGGACTCTCTTCTGATTATACTCTGAAATCGAGCCTATTTCTCTCCCTCTCCCTCCCTCCCTCCTTTCCTCCCTCCCTCTCTCTTCTCTGCAGCATATTCTCGCAAGGGGAGCATGCTAGTTCTTCAGTTTCAGGGCGGGTGCTGAATGTTCGTCGTCCTCGAGGTGATCTGATCCGTCTGGAGAATGGGTGATTTTGGGGTCCGAAGAGTGGAACCAGTTCATACCAAGATAAAGAATGTCCCCATAGCTGTGACTCCGGAAGGGTTCTGGTGTTGCCCATCTCCAGTGGTCTTCCAAAAGACGCTCAAGAGCCAAAACCACCAAAGCAGGCGCAAACCTTCCCCCTCTCCGGCACCACCATTGCCGCCCCCGCCGCCGGCGTCAGGAGCAGTAGCGGGTCACAAGCACTCTGCCCAGAGAACCCAGCTTCCCACGGCGGAGAAGAAGCACAGCTCTCCAAACCCATCAGGGTCGCCGGCCGTCGCCGACGACCAGAGATGCTCAAAGCCGGAGGCCCCCGCCGTGAGCCCACCGGCGCCGCCGCCGAAAGCTCCGAAACCGAGCACAGAGAGTCTGCCGCAGAAGATATCCGTCGGATTCGGGCACCCCGACACAAGCGACCTGAAGGTCGTTCTATCAGGGAAGGAGGGCATCGCCGTGAGGATGAGCGTCCACAAGAACGTTCTCTCCGAGAACAGCGTCTTCTTCGCCGGCAAGCTCTCCCGGCAGGCTCCCCTCGCCTGCATTGACATCGGGGACTGCGAGGATGTGGAAATCTACGTCGAAACCATCGGATTGATGTACTGCAAGGAGATGAAGCAGAGGCTGATCAAGCAGAGCGTCCCTCGTGTTCTTCGCGTTCTCAAGGTTCGTCTACCCTCTCTCTCAAGGCTCGCCTTCATCTTCTTCCTAACCTAACCTAAATTCCATGGATCCCCCCAGGTTGCAGAGTCTCTGGGTTTCCGTTCTTGCGTGAGGTCCTGCCTGGAGTACCTCGAGGCCGCGCCGTGGGTGGGGGAGGAGGAGGACAGCGTGGTCTCCTCCGTGCGCCGCCTGCAGAGCGGCGGCGCCGACTTCGGCGTGAGCCCGATTCTGAAGAGGGTCTCATCTGACATATCCAACCCCCCCAACGACACGCTCGCCCACATCATCGAGCTGGTCCTCAAGAGCAGCGAGGAGAGAGGGCGGCGTGAGATGAAGGCCCTGGTGCTGAAGCTCCTGCGGGAGAACAGCCTTCTTATCAGCGGCGCCGCCGATATCTGCGCTGAGACCCTGTACAGGTCGTGCCGCCGGTGTCTTTCTTCCCTGCTGCTCCTCGCCGGGCAAGGCGAGGACACGCCGTCGGAGGGGAAGGAGACGGTGGCGCGGCGGGTGGCACTGGAAGCCGACAACTTGCTCTGGATGGCGGAGATCATGGCCGACCGGCACGTCGCCGACGAGCTCGCGATCATGTGGGCCGGCCAGGAAGAGCTGGCCGCCCTCCATGCGAAGCTCCCCGTCGCTTCTCGCCACCCAATCAGCTGCATTACGGCGAGGCTCTTCGTGGGGATCGGCAAGGGGGAGATGCTTCCGTCGAAGGAGATTCGGCAGAGGTTGCTGCAGGTGTGGCTGCAGCCGCTGATCGACGACTACAGCTGGTTGCAGCACGGTTGCCGGACCTTCAATCGGAAGGCGGTGGAGGAGGGCATCGGGAGGACGATACTGACGCTGCCGCTGGAGGACCAGCAGAGCATTCTGCTCTCATGGCTGGGGAGCTTCCTCAAGGTCGGCGACCGCTGCCCCAACCTCCAGCGGGCCTTCGAGGTCTGGTGGCGGCGGACCTTCATCAGGCCCCACATGGAGAACGACCGCAGCGGGCCACTGTGAGGGAGCTGCTAGGTCTGCTGCATTTATGTGAGAGCCCTGATCTTCTTGTCATCACTTTGTATGTACACTGCTGTAGTCGTCTCTCTTCCCTCCTGATATGACCTTCTGGGGCGATATCAGAAGACCAAAACTTATTGCGACGCTCTGGTTGGTCGTCGAAGGTGAAGGTTGACTACCAATTCGAGGCTTGGCCCAAGTCTGCCTGCTACGTCCGTACCAAAAAAACTCATTCCTTCGTTTACGGTCAACTATTTTCTCTCGGCTGTGTGCATGGTTTTGTTTGGGGAATCAAACGCCTGAATTCGGTCTACACGAATACAGCTTCGTGTTCCATGAAAGCTCCCGTTTTTCATGAGAGCTCTGGATATGAATCTTGGCATGTTAATCCAGAGGGTGGCTCTCAGTTTTTGCTCGCGGGACGAGACCCTGGTTGAGAACGGATGAATCGGGCTCTCTTCGTTCTCGGCGGGAAAATGATCACAGGGAACGACAGCGAAGAACAGGAGATCTATCACGGCTAATCTTACATCCTTCAATTGGACCCCAGCAGGACAACCTTGGACGAGAGCTGCTGAGGTCATCAGTATGTACGTGTTCTTAGATTTACAGAAAATGAGAAGAATGATGAAGAGGAGGCCCGCCCAACAATCTGTTATACAATTCTATGTCATCTTTATGTATTTATGGACCTCGAGTAGGGAAGATCAAATGGTAGGTGACTGGGGGGAAGGGGAGGGGGGAGGAGGAAGCAGGAGGATCTCTCCGGCTCCCTCGTCGTGTCTCTGTGCCTGAGCGCTAACTGTCTCCAAAGTCTCTAATGGAGAATCGGCCGCCCTCCGGCATGTTGCCTGCGTGCCGGAGGCCGAGGGTGAGAGAGACGTCGCCGGAGGCCCCGTACCTCCTGCGTGCCGCCGCCGAGCCCGCGATGGCGGCGCGGATGTCGTCGGTGGGGCCCAGATCGCCCATCGGCAGCACGTCCATGCCGACCAGGGAGGCGACGTCACCGGCGCCACCGGTGGGACGGCCCAGCGGGTGGCCCGTCAGGCCTTCAGACGCCGCGAAGTGCGGCTGAGAAGGGTCGCCGTCGTTTGCACCGATTTGCGGCTCTAGCGGCGGCGGTTGGTTCTTCTGTTGCTCTTGGTGCTGCTGCTGCTGCTTCGGCGACTCCGATCTCCCTTCCTCCCTTTCACCGTCGTCCGTAAGATCCTTCGATTCCTGCTGGTACATCTCCTCCACCATGGGCTTCCACAGCCGAACCCTCGCATTAATGAACCAATTCGATACCTGCAACGCATGTTATCCAAGCATATTGAAAACCGACATGACACATCTAGGGCTGTCGCAGCCCGGCAGGGCTGGGTCGAATCCCATCCGAATCACTTAAACGGCGATGACAACCACAGATCTGGTCAGAAGTAAATGAAGCCTGTGGCTCTGCGGCTCTCGCCTTCCTACATTCTTATCTACATGCAGTGGAAGAGGGGAGTCTGAGAAGAAACCTGCTCACTCCATTCCACTCCCCTCCCCTCCCCTCCCCGTTGGTCTTATTTCAGAAGAAATCTATGCAACAACTATTCTTTTTTCTTATCGGTTTCGTCTTATCAGATCACTGCTAACATGCTGGACCACGGGCTGGTATTAGCGGAAGCTGGGGAGAGCATGCAGAGGGAAGAGGAAATCGACAGACGACTGTCTGCAGTTTTTTTGTTTTTTTACTTGACCTCAACTGGAAGGAGACAGGACGGCTGTTTGAATTCTGCAGGAGACGAAAGATGAGTGAAAAACTGAGAATTCTTCTGGTTCTTTCTTGCTCCAATAGTTCCCTTTGGCCGTCACTCGTCATTCGACGGATGAACACTCTCTCTCTCTCTCTCTCTCTCTCTCTCTCTCTCTCTCTCTCTCTCTCTCTCACTCACTCACTATGGGCAGCTTTCCGAATGACTTGACCCCCATTTAAGTAGCATACTTACCCATGAGCATCAGATGATCTACTAATTTTTCCCTGCCTACTTTCGGGGATCGCGTCCGACCAATCGACGATCGGGCCGAAACCGAGAAAGAGAAATATAAAAGATAGCAGCTTTGTGCCCGGGAGGTGTCAGGTTATCAACAATACTCGTTGAACTGGGGACATACTCCTACCTACGACTTCGCATCCTTGTTGAGAATCAAAGAGCTGAGAATTCATCACTAGTAGGGTAAGTTGACGCGGGAGGGGGGGAGGAGGGAAGGGCGGACGAACCTGATTTCGCGATAATCCCGTCTGCCTGGCCAGCAAATGCTTATCTGCGTCGCTTGGGTACCTGAGAAGGAAAGGAAAAGAGTGGAAGACGAAGTCAAGACCTCTGACCGACCACGCTGAGACGAGAGTCCCCCCTCTCCCCAAAGAAAAAGAAAAGGAAAAGGGGATAAAGTCTTCTCATGGTGCGACAAACGGGAAGGGCTCCGGACAGTGATACTGTTTGTCACTCCGTCTGTGAAGAAAGAGATCACCAAGACTGAAGGGGTACCTTTGCCCAGGCTTTTTGTTGCAAAGACAAGGCCCGACGACTGCAGCAGCTGCACCACTCCCCCTCGGGGATGATGGCAGGGAATAGGAGGGTGAAAGTCGGGTTAAATTTGTTGAAGTCCCTAATCATTGTTCGTATTGACATTGATAGCGAGCGGAGCGTAGAGGAAGAAGATGACAGGGTCTCGCGGCCACTGGGGTGTGTGAGATTATGGATGCATTGGTGGTTCAGCTGTGTCTAGGTGAGGAGGAGGTGGTTGTGGTCTCGTGCGCTTAACGATCTCAAGCTACGGCCATGGTCTTTAATGAAGAGGAGATGTAGATTATGAAGTTTCCTCGGCCAGACATTTATGATAGATGCACGAGCAGATGCATCAAAGGAGAAGATGACTAATGCAATATAACAATCATAAGACGACGAAGCAAACCAGGAGGATGAAGAAGAACCAGAAGAGGAAGAAAGAGGCGTTATTCATAAGGAAGAGATAATACGTACGGGTGGAGGAAGTGCTCAAAAAGCCATCCCCTTAATATGTTCACGGATCGTTCAGGCAAGCCCCTCTGAGGCCTCCAGGCTTCTTGCTCCATCATCCCTATCTGGTGGAAGGCCCTCTGCTGACGTAGGCTTTGCTCAAGAAGCCGCAGCCTGGGGGTCTCCCCCTTCGTGATGCCTGTGGAGCCTGCCCCGTCCTTCTCTCCGAGGAGATCGCAAGTGTGCTTAAGCTGCGCGGCTATGGCGTCCTTGAGGCACCGGAAGTGCCGGGACATGGCCTTCTGAGCCAGAGCTGTGTAGGGGGTGGCTGCGCCCGCGCCCATCACCGTGTCGAACGAGTTCACCACCACCTGCATCTGTTCGCAGTAGTGGTTGTACCTTCTCTCGACCTGTAAATATAAGCGAAAAATAGAGTAAACAAAGAGGAGAAATATCGCCGAAAGAGAAGAGATAAGAAGGGTTTGAGGCCGCCCCTCATAACCCACGAGTACCATACTTGTTCCATCCAATTATATGGTTCCTTCAATAATGGACGGGAAGATACGAAAGGGAAGTGCTCTACCGATGCACTTGAGCTTCACTTCATGGAATGCCAATAAAGTCGGCCGTGTGATCATGAGCCTACTTGCGGGATATTCAGTGACTCTGATTCCGTTGGCTGAGTTCCCACATACGGAAAGGAAGTATCACGTAGTGGAGAAGGAATGATTCTTTCTACGCGTACGTTTTCAACTTGATTATCGTAGTAGAAACCGAGAGAGAGAGAGCAATGAATGCATAGGTCAAACGGTTTTCTCGGTAATAGAGTGAATGCCTGGAAGAGTATCCTGATATCTACAACTTGGTTGTCGAAAATTGCGAGCGTAAGATGAGCATGCAGCTGAGTGCAGAAAGTCAACGTGAATTCCCCTTAATAAGTCAACTCGAGTTGCTCCCTAATGGCTTACTCTGCAGGTTTTCGATGATGGGTAATTCGATCTAATCTAGGCATGGGATCTCTGAAGCTGGCCTTCTTCCAGGAGCCTGAGGTGCGTGGGTAGGGAAATCCCAGCGTTCTGGGCGGGCGTAGTATACGGAAAGTGTTGTGCGAGGGAAAAGCTCGAGGTACCGACGGTGGGATGGAAACTGTAATCTAAGAGGCATTCTAAAGAAAAATCATGGGATGGTCGACCGAGGTGGTTTGGAAGCTCACTTCCGGCTCCCTCGTCTTCCTTGAAGGATAAGGGAGAACTGTGACAGTTGGAAGCTCTCCACGGAGGAGAGGGGCGATACAGATGGAGAGACTTGTAGCGGGAAAGGAGAGGAGAGCTGAGCTAAGTGTTTAAAAGTGAGTGGAGATGGAGGTGGTAAAAATTAAAAAAAGCGGGTGAGAAGTGGTCTAGAGAGATAGATAGATGATAGAGAGGGAGAGAGCGAGGAGAGAGGAGATAGAGAGAGAGAGAGAGAGAGAGAGAGAGAGAGAGAGAGAGAGAGAGAGAGAGAGAGAGAGAGAGAGAGAGAGAGAGAGAGAGAGAGATTGGGGTACATGCCTCGTCAAGCATGGACAAGAGCTTGGCCTTCCTCCGTTGGTGCTCGAACCTATCCGCAGGCGAGAGAGGGGGGGGCTCCTTGATGGAGGAAGAGCTCCCAGCGGCGGCACTGGAGGTAGAGGCGCTACCACCGGCGGAACTAGGGTTCCGATTGGCGGCAGATCCATTGTGCCGTCCTTTCCTTGACCCCTTTAGCTGGCCCCTCGCCATCCCGCAGAACTCCTCCAGCAGGTCCTGTGCTGCCCGGGTATACTTGGAGTTTCTCAGCATGTTCGCCACGCCTGCAGAGCTCCCGAAGCCGACATGCTGCACATGCTGACTGAAGCCCAGTTGACCAGGCTGACCCTGAAAATGCAATTGCCTCGGCTGTTGCTGTTGCTGGCCTCCGTAATACCTCAATTCCTCGGCCCGCGCCATTTCCAGCTGCTGGAGAGATGAGCTGAGAGACAGCGAGAGACCTTGGCCCTCCACCATCCCCCCTCCGAAGGAACTGTTGCCAAAGGATTGCGTCTGGAAGGCGCTGGGGTCTGGCGAGGGAGGAGAAGCTGACCTCTGCTGCTGCTGAAGAGGGTTCATCAGGAACATATGCATCGCCGCAGCTGAGTCTGCATTCATCCCGGAGAGCTGGTGATGGCGCGGTGGGTCACCGACCTGGGGCTTGGGTATGTCCACTGAGGAGGCGAGGCCACCGCCCATCGCCAAACCTTCCCTACTGTTGCCGCCGCCATACCAGTCCCCGGAGAAGCCAGCCGCAGGCGGCCTCTGGGGACGGAAATTCGGTGCGATTTGGCTCGCGAGAAGGTCGGTGGAGGACTGCCCCGCGGCGGCGGAGAAATTGAACATGTCTGAAAGCATGTTGCCACCGCCGGCGGGCTCGTAGATGGGCTCCGGTATGTCATCAAGCGAAAGCAGCGGAGCTCCAGATGGGTCGAAGCCTTGCACCCTCAGCTTGTCCCTCCGACTTTGCTGCGCGATGTGCTGTTGCTGCTGCTGCTGCTGCCGCGTGGCAGCGGCGTGAGCTGTCCTATCGAAGCCATCGGAGAAGCTGAAGATGCTCTGGTGGAAGCCTTGGGACATAGAAGAAGACGCTGGGTTTGACCCGGCGAGGGGTCTCGAGGGCGGCTTGTTGTTGACTAGGAGATGGGGAAGGAGAGGCTGCGATGGTGGAGGCGCTGCTATTCCCATGCCGACGGCTTCTCCTTCATCGTGACCGCCGGATCCCAGCGGTGCTGCACGCGACAGTCATCCGCCGATCGGAATAGAGAAATCCCATTCGAGCTCTTTGAGAATAAAAACGAAAGAAAAGAGAAGGACAAGAGCGCCGGGATGGGGAGCAGGGAGAAGACTGCAGTGTTCTGAGCTCTGATCTCCCCCTCGCCCCCCGCCCTTGGGCTTTTTTGCTCCAGTGGTATACCTAATAGTCTGAGCTCTGAGACATCGTTGTCTGGCACTAGAATTGAAAGCTTCTCCGCTTGCTCCTCCTTATCTGTCCCTCCTGTCCCCCGACCCCTCCCTCCCCCCCCCCCTCTCTCTCTCTCTCTCTCTCTCTCTCTCTCTCTCTCTCTCTCTCTCTCTCTCTCTCTTCTCGCTCTCTCTCTCTCTTTCTCTCTCTCTCTCTCTTTCTCTCTCTCTCTCTCTTTCTCTCTCTCTCTCTCTCTCTCTCTCTCTCTCTCTCTCTCTCTCTCTCTCCCCCCCACGCTCTCCTTGTTCCCCTCTCGCAATCGCCTTCTGAGAGGAAGGATGACAAGGGGAAGGAAAAAAAATGGAGGAGACTGGTTTCAGAGGGACAACCAGAGAAGAGGTCGCTGTTCTTCGCAAGCCCCGTCCCCCTTCCCTACGACCTTATATTTTCCCAATTTCTGCATGTTTAAACAACATTTAATCCCGTTTGCGACGTGGGCAAGGCCAAAATAAAATAAAAAATAAAGGCGTGACCTTGACCTCCCCTCCTTTCCCTTTTCCCCCAGATTTCACACCAAATACGCGGCTTCACCCGTCAGCCGCTACGAAAATCTCAGGTGGGAGGACCCCGCCGCGAGATGCCGGGGAGGGTACTCCCGCCATTCCACGTAACTCGCCGGCCACTCGTTCTCCCCGGCTAGGGCGACCATCCGCCGGGAGGAGGAAGACGAAGGCTCCGGCGAGGGGCACAGAGGTCATTGCACCCCATATTCCCCCGGCAGGACACACCTTAAAGTTGGAGATAAGGTTGCGGGCTCATTAAAGCCGCTACTCAAAAGAGGCCTCCCATCGCCGTCCATCGGCTGACCCTCGGCTGGGATCCAACCATCCGACGGGAGGGTCCCGTGGTCCCGCGGAACACGATAAAGGGCCCGGCCTTTCGATTTTGTCGGCCGAACCGGGCCGGCCCTCCGATCAATCACCCGATTGATCCCCCCGTCTGATTTGGACCCCCCACCAGCTCCCCGGCACGTGCGGCTCGAGACCGTTGGGCACGTGAGATCGAGGGAAAAGAACATGCAACCGTCGCTGCGCGTGCGAGCCGCGTTCACACGGGCGCGGCTTTAGAACGACTTAACTACTACTATTACTACTACTACTACTCATCCTCTCTCTGTGGGGGGAGGGGGGGGAGATCTCAACAGCGAACTGGTCTGATGGCTGACAGCCCAATCCGCTTTGCCCGATGATGTCACGTGAACCTCTCTCTCTCTCTTGATTGACTTTTCTCCCTCCGGCGCGGTAAGAACCTTGGAGGATGACGAAGCCGCCGGCGATGGCGACGGCGAGGGGGGATTATATTTTATGGGTGCCGGTGACGGCGGCGGACGGCGATAACGGCGGAGAGGGGGTGCGACGTCGCTGTCGGGATAGACGGCGGAAAGCGACGGCGCCGCCGTGAGGATCCCACCCCGCGGCCGTCTCCTTTCTTTCAACACGGGGGGCCTCGCGGGGGCCGCTTCCCGTTTCTCCACGGTAGGCGTGGACCCTCCTCCCACTGGCCTCCGGGACCACCCGCCAACCTATTAATGTCGCTCTCTCTCTAGTTCGTTGAATAGTCAACTGGGTGGGGGAGGAGGTGGTGCCTGGGGTGGGGCAGGGGGGTGAATGAAGGCAGCCTTGCGCCGGCACGGGGCGGGGGATGGGGCCGTGGGCTTGCATGGCGCTTGATGAGGCTGCCTTATCGCTCAATAATAACAATAATTACGTCGATAATGATGGGATAATCAAGTGGGGGGAAGGGGAGGTAGGGAAGGGGGAAGCCTCGCGTGGAGGGGAACAAGCAGAAGGGCCACGCGGGATGTCGCCTTCTTCCTCCCCTAGCCGTCACCGTTCTCATCGTAGCGGTCTCTTCTTTCCATGACGCTAGCCAGATATTTCATGCATTATAATAATTATTATTATAATAATAATGGATATCGACAATTATAGAAGCTTGGCCTGGCCCGGCAGGTTTTAATTATGTCACACCAAGCGCCCTCTGCGCTAGAAAACTCTTTGTGGCTCGGCTGCACAGAGAGAGAGAGAGAGAGATAGAGAGAGAGAGAGAGAGAGAGAGAGAGAGAGAGAGAGAGAGAGAGAGAGATGACCTCAGACTCCCCCAAAGGCTTTCGAGAGCTGTTGATCTGAAACTTTGGAGTCATGCCCACGACACCTCTCTCTAGTTTCTCCGATTTCATTCGAGCATCCATTCTGGTTCCACACGTTTGTTCCTCTGTGTGTGTGAGAGAGAGAGAAAGAGAGAGAGAGAGAGAGAGAGAGAGAGAGAGAGAGAGAGACGCTCTGAAGTCCACGCGTATGCCTGCGATACGAACAAGGACGGTGAGTCGGGCACCAGATTTCCTTCACAATCACATAATCCGGTCTCCCTGCCCACCGACTTTATTGAAAGATTTTTTATCATACTCTGGTTGAGACCAAGTACTGTAGCTGCGCAGCGATGAAAAGGCAGTTTCTGCGGCTACGCCTCACATCAAGTGCGTACGAGGAAGCGTCAACGCCATCCTTCCCATCTCCTTGGCCCCCCCCTTCCCCGCCGCCCGCCTGTCGTTTTTTATGTACCGTATGAATCAGAAGCCTGAAGGAGGGATGACAGTGCAACTTCCCCTTTACTTTCCCCTCCCATTTCGCCGTACTCTGACCGGATTAATGACCCTGGACGGCGGCTACTCTCTCTCTTCTCTCTCTCTCCCCTACGGAGTCGACATGGCATAGGAATCTAACCCCTCGCCAAGGTCATCTTCCTCGCCGGAGCCGGCATCTGATGTCCGTATGACGACGACAGCAAAAGCCCTGGTAAGGACTAATGCTCGGGAAGGTACCTCGCTCTCCCGTCGTCAACCAATGTGGGGGTTCTCTTACCAGCTACAGACCGAAATAAAACAGCAATTCTCGGTGTTGACTTCGATCCATGGGGGATGCGTAAGCAATGGACAGTCGTCTGCCACACGTCCGTCTCTGTCTGGATTCACGTGGCCGCCGCGGGGCGCGACGCTGACAACCATGTTGATTCTCTGGGACTGCAGACCAGCTAGTAGTTGCCCCATTAAGAGGCTCTGAGGTCGCTCATCAGTCTGGCGAGCGAGCCGTGGAAGAGGGGGCGGCGGCGGTCGTTGGGCTTCATTAATGAGCCTGGCCATGGGGCGAAGCTCTTCGCCTTGCCGGAACAGGCGCCGGGGTCGGCACAGGGACGGCGTAGGACATCCGTCACGTTGCCGTAGTAAGTGTCTGCCCCCCCATGACGAAGCCTCTGCTGTCAGATCGCTGCAACCTGTACACCTCATAGCCGGGAGGAACTCATTCTCACGCGTCCCACCAGGCTTTAACTTCTGGATGCCGGCCTCTCACAGTCAATCGACGGTGGGGACCTCAATAAGTCTCCCACAGTAGGGTTCAAGAGGGAACAGAAGGTGGCGGTGAGGAGGGAGGCTTTCAGCGGGTATCAAGTTAGGGATTCACGCCAGTTATGGCCGAGATCGACACATCGGCGGCGGATATAAACGGGTCTCCCGTCAAACGACAGATTGAACAACGCGATGGCTAAAATGGAAAGCTTTATGAAGTGCGAAGCTTTTACTCCACGTCAGGATTCTGAGAGTTCAATCACCTGAAGAACGGATAGGAGATTGTTGGAATTTGATGCCCATCCAAGCAGGACGGGGCCAGCTTGTCGGCTGCGCTTCCCGGTCTCTGTTCACCGTTATATTATGCGTGGAAAGCTTCCAACGTCTGAACCCAGCTTCATGGAGCTCCTCCTGGAGGACAACTGTCCTACGAATCTCACGGTTTCCGGTTAACGTTCTTCTCAAAGACGCCGTCGAATTCGTTCTCGGATGTTTGGAGAACTTGCTCCTCGTTTTAGTGGTGGGCGACGCAAGGGAGAGTCTACGGGTGGTCTAATGATAACGATACGCCGTGGGAATGCATTTGATGGGTTTCAAACTTCCGTTTTTATTATTATTTAGAGGCGAAAAAGATGCAGAATTAGTGCATAATTAATTTTAATAATCGTATAATTGACAGCCTGAACACAGTTGGGGTCTCTACCTATGAAAAAGCTTCTCCGAATCAAATGCCGAAAAGAATGTCGGTGGCTCCCCGCTGACGCTCGAAGAACAACTGCCCATTAATACTGGAAAATATCCCAAATGCTTGGTTTCCAACAAGCCAGGCTGGTGAATTGGAGTACGGTTCACGTAGAGTGGAAGATGGGATCTCATGTGCTACACATAGGTAGCTCATAGGCTTCTTAGCGTGAGCCGGCAATGGCGGCGTTCAAAAATTCTGCTCTCCAGACACCCATACAGCCCATACACGCCTTCCCATCGACGGTTCGACTGTTCTTTTCTTTCCTGCCGGTGGAGATAAGCAGAGAAAGAAGAAGCAGAATAAACAAACTAACTCCCATTTTTTCATTTGCCCATGATTAATTGAATATATCGTTCATTAATTAAATAAGAAAATGAATAACAACTAGGTTCTAATGAAGAAAAGCTAGATCAGATGGGCATATGATTCCTAAAATATCTATCCTTCTGATAATCGAAGTAATCCCAC